GCTCTCATTGGGAACATATGGCTTGGAAATGCCAGTTTGACCCCAGGTGTCGGTACTGTGGTAAGAAACACGACTCTCGAGAGTGTCAAGATTAAAAACAGTGAAAAAATCGTCCCATCTTGTTGCAATTGTCGAGGCAGCCACAATGTTGGTTCCTATCTATGCCCCATGAAGCCTCTTCTGAGAAACTCCAGGACGGGTCCTACAAGTAGGATAGATGTATCCTCGAAGGAAGGAAAGATTGTGCAGCAGGAGCATGGAGGAAACAACTGGAAGCCAACGACAGCCCCTATGAACAATGTGTGGGAGAAAGGAACGGAGACACTTTAAGGCGAGCCTAGGGAAAGTAGGAAATGCAGCTGAAAAAATCAAACCTTGTGGAGACAAGGTTCAGGACAATATAGTGAACTCTGAGGTTGGTACTCAATTATTGGAATATCTAAAAAAAAAAAACTAGACAAAAGGATTGAGGCATTAGAAAAATTAGCTGTGAAGGGTAGACGGGGTGAAGATGGTGGTGAAACAGGACGTGAAATGGAAAGTGAAACAGGACGTGAAATGGAAAGTGAAACAGGACGTGAAATGGAAAGTGAAACAGGACGTGAAATGGAAAGTGAAACAGGACGAGAAATGGAAAGTGAAACAGGACGAGAAATGGAAAGTGACACAGGACGTGAAATGGAAAGTGAAACGTGCGTAGAAGAAAGTAAGAACAACATGGTGTATTGATGATAGAGGATAGTCAGGAAAATGAACTTTCTAGTAGTGATAGCGGTGTTCAACCTTCTGTAGTGACAAATGTTGAAACAAAGGTTAAAGTAAAAGGGTATAGAGAATTAAAAACAAAAATAGATATGAATAATACTACCTTTGATGTTAGTAGCTGTTGTGCAAGTGAGGAGAAAGCAAAAATGTTAGTATTGGGAGAGTGTTTTAAGAACCTCTAGTATCTCATGGAATGTGACGGACAGGGCAAAGGTAGTTTTATTATTAATCATGGATGAAAGTAGAGTGAGGATATTATCTTGGAACGTTAATGGGTTAAAATCAAGTGCGGTGGATGTACACTATTATACTCTTAGAGAGTAGTCCTGAAATGTTAAATGGGATTCTTGTATTGTGATTTGTGTTTTTGTAATTACTGAGTTACAAAATTCAATATAAGTCGTCACATCAACAATGGGTTCGAGATCGACCTCAAGTACAGGTTCTAAATTAAGCAACTGACATGTGGAGAGCTAGTGTCAAAATTGATATGTTTGTCCTGCACTCCGCCCCCCATCCAGTGGGCAGCGGTGGATAGGTTACAATCACTTAGTTACTACCTACAAATAGCAAACTGGGGATATTTGGCTAAATTTTGTAACTAGCTCATCAAGATTGTAACTTGCTTAGCTAAATGAATTGTGGGGTTCAGTCCCTGAGCCCATTATGTGCCTCTGTAACCCTTTCCACTACCGCTCACAAGATGGGTATGGGGTGCATAATAAATGAACTAAACTAAAACTAAACTAATAATTACTGAATTTGTGCGCCTCTTGAGGGACTTGAAGTGGGGGGGGGGTAGAAATAGTCTAAGCTACTCTTTGATATGTATTTTTTGTTCTTGTCTCAATAAACATACTTGAACTTTAAAGAACATTATGTATTAGAGTATCAACTTAGTGATAACTATAGAAATATGGAAATAAGTAGTGTACCACATCAAATTGTTTGAATGTGTGATAATGGTATGATAGACAGTATACTTAGGAGCTATAAGAATTTTGCCCCAATGAGTGTAATGCTCATATGCTGTGCTTACTATATTAACCTGCAATGTTAAATGGGATTTTTGTATTGTGATTTGTGTTCACTGAATTTGTGCACCCCTTGAGGGATTTGAAATAGAGGGGGGGGAGGGGTAGAAATAGCCTAAGCTACTCTATCCCTTTGAGATATATTTTTTGTCTCAATAAACATACTTGAACTTGAACTTGCTCAGCCAGATAGCTCTTGCTCAATACCTAGTAATATTCCCTCATGGAAGCGCTCACTACAAGGTTTCCACCAGATACTGTTTGGGTCACCCTCTCCCCACTCAACCAGACACAAATTACATAAATTAATATATATATATATATATATATATATATATATATATATATATATATATATATATGTCGTACCTAATAGCCAGAACGCACTTCTCAGCCTACTATGCAAGGCCCGATTTGCCTAATAAGCCAAGTTTTCCTGAATAAATATATTTTTTCTAATTTTTTTCTTATGAAATGATAAAGCTACCCATTTCATTATGTATGAGGTCAATTTTTTTTTATTGGAGTTAAAATTAAGGTAGATATATGACCGAACCTAAACAACCCTACCTAACCTAACCTAACCTATCTCTATCGGTTAGGTTAGGTTAGGTAGCAGAAAAAGTTAGGTTAGGTTAGGTTAGGTACGTTAGGTAGTCGAAAAAACATTAATTCATGAAAACTTGGCTTATTAGGCAAATTGGGCCATGAATAGTTGGCTGAGAAGTGCGTTCTGGCTACTAGGTACGACATATATATATATATATATATATACATATATATATATATATATATATATATATGTCGTACCTAGTAGCCAGAACGCACTTTTCTGCCTACTATGCATGGCCCGATTTGCCTAATAAGCCAAGTTTTCATGAATTATTTGTTTTTCGACTACCTAACCTACCTAACCTGACCTAACCTAACTTTTTCGGCTACCTAACCTAACCTAACTTATAAAGATAGGTTAGGTAGGGTTGGTTAGGTTCGGTCATATATCTACGTTAATTTTAACTCCAATAAAAAAAGGTTAACCTCATACATAATGAAATGGGTGGCTTTATCATTTCATAAGAAAAAAATGAGAGAAAATATATTAATTCAGGAAAACTTGGCTTATTAGGCAAATTGGGGCTTGCATAGTAGGCCGAGAAGTGCGTTCTGGCTACTAGGTACGACATATATATACATATATATATATATATATATATATATATATATATATATATATATACACATATATATATATATACATGTATGTATATATATATATATGTATATATATATATATATATATATATATATATATATATATATATATATATATATATATATATATATATATATATATATATATATATATTTTTTGTGGCGATAATCTCTTTCAAAAGAGATCGAGCCTGCTCTTCTCTACATAAAGTTACTTATATATATACAACAATAAGATGCTACCTTCAAGATACGTCTACCAGTAGCACAAAACGTTTTGACCAGGAGGCAAACGTACCCTAAACTCCCCCCTACTCCACACTCCCTCCATCCTAGCTCCGTCATCAACCAGCAAACTACCATTCCTAGCCTGCCTGCTTCTGATTGGTGACCCGCCGACTGCACACCTGCACCTCAGCGCCCTCTACTTAGTCGATGTCTGGGCTTGAACCAGTCATTGAAGTTAGAATATCTTGTGCACTCAAACTGTGAACAACTAACTGATATACGCTCTGTCTATCAGGTGGATGTTTCTCAGCACCTGCATATTTCATTTTGTCTTTATATTATTATAGAGTAACGTCATTCCTGTTCTTAATTTTTATGTTATATTTTTTTACTTGTTTGTTTGCACTGTACATAGCCAAGGAATTGTCTTTGTTTTTAATTTGTTTTCAAAGTTAATTAAAGTTTCATTGTTCATACTATTTGTTTTGTGTGTCTTCCTGTCTTCCTTTATTTTACCACAGACAACAGCCAAGCAGTCTTATCTTTTTTTTTGTAAATGTGACTAGGCACATTGACACCAGCCATTAGGAGGACTGCCGAACATCTACACTCCTACACTTTCCCATCACAATATATATATATATATATATATATATATATATATATATATATATATATATATATATATATATAGTATTACAGTATATAAAACCAAAGAACTCTTCCTCGTGAAGGATTCAAACTGTAGAATGCATGGTGCATCAAATACTCCAGCATAACCAGTATAATTTAAGGTCATAGTTCATACCTCCCCTCCTCGTGCTCTAGAATCGTATATATATATAAATGTTACAGCTGTAATTCTGGAGACACTGGAAGATCCATTCGGAACTTTAAGATTAGGATACTGGAGCACCGGGAATACCATTCAGGACTGACTTACCATTGCCCAAACCAGCATTCTCAGAGATTAGAAATTTTGTAATGAAGTGAATCATTTATTGTTGGAATCCAATTTTAAAATCTTGGACACATGCACGACTGGCCAGTCGGATTTGAGAATAATGGAATCCTTATATAGAGAGCTGCAGCCTCTGCTCGTGCAAGGTGTTTAACTGGTAAACTGATTTAAATGATTAGTTTTATATAATTTTTCTGTAAGTTTGTAGTTATTATTATAATTTTAAGTTAGCTTTTAGTATGTTTATTGACGTTATCAAATTCAACTTAATTCAACTTACATGAAGTGATTAAATTAAACTGTCTTATTTTATATCTAGTGTCTCTTTGTATCTCTTATTTTTTAATAAGATATCTTGTTCAGAATGAATTCTTTGTTTTGCTAGTTATTTTAATGCATTTTTGGTATTTTAGATTTGGTGATGAATACGATAATATTCAAAACGTCTTGAACTTTAATTAAAAGTAAAGAAGTACTATGACAAGATGTTTGCTATGTCAATGGTTCTCCTATTTATTATGAAATTAATTATTAAGATTCACAAAGGGAACAGCTATCTTGAATATTTTATTAACATTAATTATAATTTTTCAGCAATGTTATTTGTAACTGCTACTACGAGTTACTCACTTGACCTCGATCATCATCTTATATTGAAAAAAAAAAAAGAAAGACGTAATACGATGTTGTCTACTAGCTTGCATCCCTATTTTTACCTAAATACTTTTTTAATATATAAACTAGAACATACCTTATATTATTACGAAATGCTTAGCAAATCAACAGGTGTATCATCGCAGGTGTGCCAGTCGTACGACCAATGGATGACGTGAGCGCTGTGGCCGGAGAAAGACTCGTACTGACGTGTCCGGTTGGGGGGTACCCCATACACTCCCGCATCTGGTTAAGAGGTCAGTCACAAGGTGTTAAATTGTGTTAAATTGAACGAGACATGGCAGCAGAGGTAATTTTATTACTAAGAAAAGTCAATTAATCAACCTATATTTCTCTCCCTCTCTCTTTCTGTAAGGTACAGGATTAAAAGTCGTACCTTTGAGTATCGCTAACAACACCCGCTCTTACTCTCTTATAAGTAATGAGAGGGATATATTATATATATATATATATATATATATATATATATATATATATATATATATATATATATATATATATATATATATATATATATATGTCGTACCTAGAAGCCAGAACACACTTCTCGGCCTACTATGCAAGGCCCGATTTGCCTAATAAGCCAAGTTTTCCTGAATTAATATATTTTCTCTAATTTTTTTCTTATGAAATGATAAAGCTACCCATTTCATTATGTATGAGGTCAAATTTTTTTTATGGGAGTTAAAATTAACGTAGATATATGACCGAACCTAACCAACCCTACCTAACCTAACCTAACCTATCTTTATAGGTTAGGTTGGGGTAGGTAGCGGAAAAAGTTAGGTTAGGTTAGGTAGGTTAGGTAGTCGAAAAACAATTAATTCATGAAAACTTGGCTTATTAGGCAAATCGGGCCTTGCATAGTAGCCAGAACGCACTTCTCTGCCTACAATGCAAGGCCCGATTTGCCTAATAAGCCAAGTTTTCATGAATTGTTTTTCGACTACCTAACCTACCTAACCTAACCTAACCTAACTTTTTCGGCTACCTAACTTCACCTAACCTATAAAGATAGGTTAGGTTAGGTTAGGTAGGGTTGGTTAGGTTCGGTCATATATCTACGTTAATTTTAACTCCAATAAAAAAAAATTGACCTCATACATAATGAAATGGGTAGCTTTATCATTTCATAAGAAAAAAATTAGAGAAAATATATTCAGAAAAACTTGGCTTATTAGGCAAATCGGGCCTTGCATAGTAGGCCGAGAAGTGCATTCTGGCTGCTAGGTACGACATATATATATATATATATATATATATATATATACTGTATATATTTATTTATTTATTTATTTATTTATTTATTTATTTCACACTCTATTACTCCCTCATCTATCCATACCTCAACTGTGGTATTTGTGCTTGGGGTTCTACTACCCAAAATCATTTACATCCTCTAATTACCCAACACAAAGCTGCTATTAGGACAATATCTAACTCTGGCCCCAGACATCACTCGGTACCCTTACTCAAATCTCTGAATATGTTAGATATTAAGTCACTGCACATCCTCTCATGTGTACTCTATATATTTAAACCTCTGAATTGTAACATCAATCCTGACCTTAAAAGCTTCTTAGGAGGTTGTAACAGAACCCATGAGCACCACACCAGAAACAAATACCTATTTGATATTCCAAGAGTGCGACTTAATCAAACTAGAAATGCTTTACAAATCAAGGGACCTCGAATGTGGAATGACCTTCCCAATCATGTTAAAGACTGTACCTGTCTCAACCAGTTTAAGATGAAAACTAAGTACTACCTAATTTACTCCATGTAACATACCTTACCTCTAAATGTCAACCCATGTCTTACTATTTTTTAAAAAAATGCTATTTGTTGACCAACTTGTATATTGTCTATTTTCTACCATGTTCTCCCCTTTTTTATCTTTTATTTTTTTTCTTTCAATGCAATTTATACTTTAAGCTCAATTACATTTAAGTTTTAGTCAAAGTGTTTTTCCCCACCTCACCTTGCCCGAAACGCTATGCGTACTAGTGGCTTTAGGTATTGTATGTACTAGCTCTATTTATGAATCAATCAGAATGTTTGTAACTCTGCATCTATGTATGTACTTTTCCTAAATAAAATATTATTACTGTATTATTATTATTATTATTATTTTTATTATAAAGCAAAGCTACAAAGCAAAGCAAAGCGAAGCAAAGTGCCTATGCTACAGTCCCTGTGGTGTAGTGGTAAGACGCTTGCCTGGCGTTTCGCGAGCACTTTGTCCTGGGTTTGTATCCTGGTTGGGGAGGATTTACTGGACGCAAATCCTTAACTGTACTGTATTACTATTTCCACTAAGGGTACCACTACTATTGTTATCATTGCGAAAATCAGTTATAGCCATGCAGAGGATTTGAACCTGCACCATAGGTACTTCCAAGCACATGCCTTAAACCAATATACTGTACTAAGAAACGCTATTAGTACTAGCCTTGGGAGTGCCCATGGTGCAGATTAGAATTCTCTGCATGGCTTCCATTAATTTTCTCATTGATACATTGCATTCATGTGATTTCTTTGTGCACTATTACCATTGCTACTGTTACCACTACTGCTAATTGTCATATTACCTATAATTCCTCAGCTCATCTCCCACACCCTGTAGAAGGTATCTCCTGCACGTAACATTAACACAGCGTGGCCCTGTTCCCCCTCCTGACGACATTTCTCCTTCCTGCAGAAGGTGTTCAGCTGCCGGTGAGTCGTCGGCAGGTCATTCACACCAATGGGTCCCTTGTGATTGATAATGTCCAGAGGGAGACGGATGCTGGGACCTACTCCTGCACTGCCTCCACTAAGCATGGGGACAAGAGCACCCAGTCTGTCCAGGTGAAGGTGCTCGGTACGTAGGTTTCCGGCGATGGAGAGGTGTTGGGAAGTGATGAGGACTAGGGAAGTGTTTGGAGATAACTGGGAAACGGTAGATAGATGTTTGGGAACTTATGGGGGAGGTGATGGAGACATGTTTAGGAAGTGATGGGAAGGTAATGGGAAGATGTTGAAGGGGTGAAAGAGATATTTCGAAAGTGATGGGGAGGTGAAGGGTGTGTGTGTATGTGTGTGTTGCAAATATTTTACTACTGTGTTCCTCTGGTTTTAATTAAGTTAGGGCTATACATTCTCTCTAATCTTTATTTTTCTCTGATACTGGAAACTATTTTTAATTATGCTTGCCTGTATTGTCCCTGGTTGCATTTTTTCCTGCTCTTATTCTCATTACTTTGCATTCTTCAGGGTTAAAGGTCTCCCTGTAACCTCCCTCACCCGTCCTCTGTTATAATTCTTTTCATTAGCTTGGTATCAACCGAGAGCAATAATAAGAATGATACTATTTTATACAGAGAATAATATGACTGATACTATTCAATACAGAGAATACTATTCTCTGCACCAAGTCTTTAACTACATCATTTTTTTAAGGGCTTCTAGCCGGATGGTCTCCGTTTTTTTGACAATGTACCTCAGTGATTCCTGCCTTCCTCTATTTGTCCATATGTATATGAATCACATTTTCTGCTCTCTTTGTACTGTATTTTCATATCTTCTTGCTCCTCCATTTACCTTCTAGCCGCTGCATGGACTAGTATTACGTTTTTCTTCTTAATCTTACAGGGAAGTGAAATATGCCTCTGTTCCCTAACATTGTCTTGCTATGGAATTCATTATTTCATATGCAATTTTATCCTTCAGTTCCCCTTATTTATTTTTTAAAATTTATTTACAGTATTTATATATTCAAGAAGGTACATTGGGTTTATGAGAGTACATAGCATTGATGGTTTTACATTCTTGCAGAGCCACTAACACGTATAGTGTTTCGGGTGTGTCCTTAATCTAAAAGATAATTTAAAGTAGGTAATTTGTAGCAAATTTGAAGAATATTAATAGGTACAGTACATTGTAAGAAAATTTGAAAAATATTAATAGATACATTATAGTAAAATTTGAGGATTATCAACAGGTACAGTGCAGCATAATTTGAGGACTATTAATAGGTACACTGTAGCAACATTTGTGTTCAACATATCAACTATAAGTTGATAGCAGTCATTACATTGGTGAGGTTGTCTGTCTTAGGCACATACAGTATATTAGGAGAGTGGGTAGCACAGGATACAGTGCAAGTTTGAAGCACTAGGTATGTTTTGCCTAGCACTAGACACTAGGTCTTGGTGTGTTTTATCAAATAATTATCTGGCTTTCATATAATCCCCTCTGCAGTATGTATGTTTCTTTCTTCTGTTATGCATGTTTCTTTCTTTTGATATTTCTCTCTCTTTCATTGATTTTCAAATACATCTGTATTAAACGATTAGCAGAGTTGTTGCTCAAGCCACCGGCTTCCTGTCCTCGTCGAGGCCACTAGTGTTAGTGGCTCTCAGGTAAACTCAGACAAACTCACTCTCAGGGGTATTTTGTATTCTATATTTTTATGTTATCCTTAATTTATGTAAAGGGTCCTCTCTGGAATTACAGTACTTTAATTTATTTGTTTTCCTCCCTAACATACTGACTTAGAAAGTTACCCTATCTGTCAAATAGATATATCAATTCCAACTCAACTCTCTCTTGATTTAAATCTCTCATGACTAGTATCTTTACTCTATATTGATTTGTTTTTTCTGCTATTTTATTGAGGATGCCATTACTGGCTGCATATACTTTGTGATATTCCTGTTTGTATCTGCTGTTATTTTAAGGAGGATTGCTCCATCTACATCATCATCTTCTCTGGTTTTGCTATTATTAAGGAAAGGTGTAAAACACCAACCCCACTTGTTTCTCTCCACTCATTCAGCCCTTCTAGGATATTTTCCAGAAAGATCACATTCCTATTAATAAAACATTCTAATCTGCTTCCGTTTGTGTACTTCCCTCGTGTTGTTCTGTGTCTTGAAAAAATGAAATTTCAAATAATTCAAGTTGACTTTGTTTCCAATATTGCTACTATGTCAGTGTCCATATCCTCTATTCCCTTTCAACTCATCTGTCATGTTTGTTACTCAATTCGCATTTTTGTACTAAATTTTAAAGCTCTTTCTCCATAGTCAGTTTGGGTGGCCCTTATTGGTGCTATGGTGTTGAGTGGAAAGAGGGTCACGTGGTGGCTAGAACTGGCATGGGAGGAGAATGCCTGGAGTGGTTTCAGGGAGAGGAATCAGTTATCTGTAGTACCCGCTGCAAGGTGGGGGAAAGGTTGGGGAAGGGTGTGGTGGCTCTTCGAGGACATGAGTGAACTTGGAAGTAAGCAGTTGTGATGTGAGGAAATTAGGAGAGGGGTTGTGGGAAAACTTTTGAAGGAGGGTATTTGTGGAACTTTAGAAAAAGGGAAGGGAACTATAAGGAGAAAGCAACACATCATTACAACTACAGTATATAACACTTGGAAGGGATCAGGATAAGGATTTGGGATGGGACGGGGAGGTGGAAAAGGAATGGTGCCCAACAGGGAAGGGAACAGGGGTTCATTTAGATATGGAGAAATGAACAATGGATGGGTGAGTAGGGAAGTGGCGAGAGGTCAAGAAGCATGGAGGAATATGAGGGATCAGTAGTTGGAGAAGGGGGTGAAAATGGCAGGGGTTCATTGGTGTAGCATGGGGGAAGGAGAGTGGTTGACTGGACTGAAAGAGAACTTCAGTTGGGCCTAAGTACATACTGGGGCTTTTGAGTGTGTGTATGTATGTAGAAGGTGTTAGCAGCTGTGTAGGGCTAAGGAGTGGAGAGGCAGTGACTGCATTTTGTTTGGGAGAGAAAAATGAATGGTATATAGAGGGAACGAGAGGGGGTGGTGTTGCATGGACAATTTTTTATCTTGGCTGCTTTATCTCTTCCGGGCAGTGGAAATCTTCTCTCAGCTTCAATGCACTGGCTAGTTATGACATCCATCATGCCTCATGTTGTTCTTCTCCAAGTTATATCTCCCATGGTACCCTCTTTTAAGAATTCTCTAACCTTCTGGTACTCGCCTGTATGGAAAGTATGTCTCCCACTATCTTTTTCTCTTCCTCTTGTCACTGCCTTCATATAAACTGCATAAACAAAGATGAAAACAATATTGTCACTTGCCCCATTGGCAAGTGACCATTAGAGTACATGCTCGAGTCTACATATGTGATGGAGTTAGCGAGTACATCGCCATTCATGTGTGTTAGTGAGTTCAAAATAATGCATGTCAGAGTGTATGTGTGTGTGTGTGTGTTAGCCCATACACCGTCATGTGTGAATATATGTTAGAGGAAGTGTATTAGCGAGCACACAGTCATGCATGTGAGTGCTAGTGAGTACAGCCAAGCAAGCCAGAGTAGAGTGACGTGACCGGGAGGCACACCCAGTGCCGCCTCGCATTCTTCCCTTCAACCAAGACCATCACCTGTCTGAGGGGAACCGCCTGACACTGACGTGCGTGGTGACAGAGGGAGACCTGCCCCTCACCATCACCTGGTACAAGGACGGCCACAAGTTGGAGGGTCGGGGCCACGCCACTCAGCATGCCTGGGGAGACTTCAACAGTCACCTGGGTATTGCTCATGTCCTTCCCCACCATGCTGGGAACTACACCTGCAGAGCCAGAAACCGTGCCGCTTCCGACCATCAGACTGCAGCTCTCTTTGTTAATGGTAAAAAAAGATTTAATTTTGTGTTCCCTTTCCAGTAACCTTGCTTCTCATTCCAGTGCCACCCAGGATAGGACCTTTTACCTTCCGTGAGAACGCTGCTGCTGGAATCCGCGTGTCTGTCAGCTGCAGCCTAGAGCAGGGCGACTTGCCAGTGACTATCCGCTGGCTAAAAGACAGTGAGTTGCTGACCTCTGACCCTCAGGGCATCGTGAGCCCTCACCGGCCTGGATTGCTGGCTCGGCTAGATCTGGACGTGCGGTTCCTGGATGCGTATTCCAGCCAGCTGGTGATTCCCAACTTAAGCTCCTCTCATGCTGGCAACTATACGTGTCAGGCAACCAATGCTGCTCGCACCGTCACCTACACTGCCCCTCTCACAGTCAGCGGTAACGTAGCCCATGAGTCGTGTCAGCACCGTCACACGCCCGCACCTGCACCGTCACATGCCCACACCTGCACCGTCACACGCCCGTTGTGCTGCTGACGCCCACTGCATGGTGCCGTAGGGGTAGTGGCGCCCACATTGCACTGCACCGTATACAGTAGTTGCTTGACCATGCACCGGCCGCCACCAGCAGCCCAACACTATCCTCACAATCACCACATTCAAACTGGTGCCCCCTCACAACCACAATCATCACAACAATACTTTCACCAGACTAGCCAGGCACCACAGCCGCCCCGTGATGCTCATCACAGTCGCCCTGCTTGCGTAGGCCTAGTCCACTATATATAAATCAAACTTCGAATTGGCCGCACCCGTGATATTCAATGGGGGAGGTACTGAAGAAATTTTCATCATTTATCAATTTAATTATAGTTAAGATAATCGGATAAAAACATATTGAATGCTTTTATCCTATTAAATTATTTTGGAATTGTAATTGTTAATCATTTCTAGGAGTGCAGAAACGTAGAGAAAATGTTAGGTACAGACCTGTTGAGTCTTGACACAGTAACTGTGAAACTGGGAAGATGGGACACCACGAGCGTAGCTCTCATCCTGTAACTACACTTAGGTAATTAACACTTAGGTAATTAACAGATATCTGTCACTCATGTCACCCAACATACAACACAAGTAAAAGGTGTAGACCTATTGGGAGGGAGGGTAGGGAATGTCACAGGGGGTCTTCCAGCTCAAAAAGCCATAGTGTATGATAGAAAATGGGGTATTTTTTTCACCCAAAGGGTTTTTACCCCGTCCTTCTAATACCACGCCACATTTTGACATACTTTACCTAAGGCCAAAATCTGTCGTACTAGAAAATAGTAGCGACTCGCAAAATTAACATAATGTCCTGTTTTCTGTTCATGGGACCTGAAGTATGTTAGGAGTATGCTTGTGAGTACATGCTGGGTTATTAACCATGGAATCGCCTACCTGCATAAGTCATGAATGCCAAGACATTAATTTGTGCAGTTTAAAACTTATTTAGAAAAAATCCTCAGGAACAGTGGTGAGGTGCCTTTGGTATGGTGCCGGTTTCCTGTCTTGGTCATGGGCACTGGTGAGATATTGGCACTTAGGTGCCATCAGGCCAAGGGGCCTGACAGCTGAGTGGACAGCGCTTTGGATTCGTAGTCCTGAGGTTCCGGGTTCGATCCCCGGTGGAGGCGGAAACAAATGGGCAGAGTTTCTTTCACCCTGATCCACCTGTTCACCTAGCAGTAAATGGGTACCTGGGAGTTAGACAGCTGCTACGGGCTGCTTCCTGGAGGTGTGTGTAACAAAAGGGAGGCCAGGACGAGGGCTAGGCCGCGGGGATGCTAAGCCCTGAAATCGCCGCGGGGATGCTAAGCCCTGAAATCATCTCAAGATAGGTAAATTTGGGTATATTAATTCACCCTCCTCACTTACTATCCAAATCATGCTGTCAGTTATACACACACATACACGCGCTTACACTCACACACAAACTAATGTAAACCCGCACACTCACAGTGTTGATGACCCAAGTACAGTACTGTAAGTTGTATCTGGCTACCTTCATCACGCCTCCCGTGCGTGTTAAATTTTGTCTGCCAACCTTAGCTTGTTTCCCCTGTCCTCACCAACTCTCCCCTATCTTCATAACCACTACCAACACACAGCTGTTTCTTTTCATGTCCTCACCAACTCTCACCCAGCTTCACCACCACTACCACCACACAGCTGCTGCTCTGTATGTGTGTCTTTCGTTCACAGCGAGCTGGGGAGGAATGGGGAAGGCAGTCCGCTAGCTGACCCAGTAGCCTGTTTCTCTTGTCAAAGCTCTGCTCAGCTCAGCACAGCACAGCACAGCACAGCACAGCACAGCAAGCACAGCACCACTTACTGCACCTGTAGCGACCAGCACTTCTTCAAATTGTGTGTAATTAATATATATATATATATATATATATATATATATATATATATATATATATATATATATATATATATATATATATATATATATATATATATATATATATATATATATATATATATATATATATAATGTGGAGCTGCACATATCACGAGCCCTTGTTCTTATGTATAAAAGTACTTTGTGTTTGTAAACATCTAACTCCCATCTCAGCACTTTGCCTCTTAATCTGGACTGATTTCTATATTGTGGTTGTAGGTATGCAATTTATAACTACAAATTAGTTTCTAGATAAATTTTAACTTCACTAGAGTCATACGAATATATGAATATGAATATGTTTATACAAAAATAATCACAACAGTATGTGATTTAGTTATACATAAAATATCAACAAGGGAAAAGAGGAAAAAAGTGCTATAGTGTATTAACACATTTTCAAGGAGTAAACTGTTAAAATGTGAAAATATACGAAAGCGCTAGAATTTTTTTTTAATATTTCCTCATTTATGTGTATAAGGAATAAATATATATATATATATATATATATATATATATATATATATATATATATATATATATATATATATATATATATATATATAATATATATATGTTTATTCCACTCCACTCCTTCCCTCCTCACAACTCTACTCACCTGCCCTCTTCAACCACAGTTCCCCCACGCTGGGTGTCGGAGCCAGAGGACCAGAGCGTGACCAGGGGCAGCGACGCCCTCATTAGGTGCCAGACAGAAGGCTTCCCTCCCCCGAAAATCATATGGAGAAAGGCTCATGGTTAGTGTTAAACTTATCATATAATTGTAACATATACTAATTTATATATATATATATATATATATATATATATATATATATATATATATATATATATATATATATATATATATATATATTTATATATATTATATATATATATATATATATATGTCGTACCTAATAGCCAGAACGCACTTCTCAGCCTACTATTTCAAGGCCCGATTTGCCTAATATGCCAAGTTTTCATGAATTAATGTTTTTTCGTCTACCTAACCTACCTAACCTAACCTAACCTAGCTTTTTTTGGCTACCTAACCTAACCTTACCTATAAAGATAGGTTAGGTTAGGTTAGGTAGGGTTGGTTAGGTTCGGTCATATATCTACGTTAATTTTAACTCCAATAAAAAAAAATTGACCTCATACATAGAGAAATGGGTAGCTTTATCATTTCATAAGAAATAAATTATAGTAAATATAATAATTCAAGAAAACTTGGCTTATTAGGCAAATCGGGCCTTGCATAGTAGGCTGAGAAGTGCGTTCTGGCTACTAGGTACGACATATATATATATATAGCAAGAACGCACTTCTCGGCCTACTATGCAAGGCCCGATTTGCCTAATAGGCCAAGTGATTTTCTTTATATTCAAGATATTGTTTCCAATTGGTTTATTTGAAATATTATTATTATGTTTATTTGAAATATTATTATTATATTATATTAAGAACATAAATTATTGACTTAGTTATGTAAGTTTAGGTTAGGTTAAGATAGGTAGGGTTGGTTAGGTTCAGTCAAATATCTAAGTTAGTATTAATTCAGATTAAAAAACTTAACCCATACATAATGAAATGGATAGCTCTATCATTTCATAAGAAAAAAAGTCGAAAAATATTTTTATTCTGGAAAACTTGGCTTACTAGGCAAATTGGGCCTTGCAAATTGGGCCTTGCAAATTGGGCCTTGCAAATTGGGCCTTGCATAGGGCCTTGCAAATTGGGCCTTGTTGTAATTAAACACAACAGTATTGTGACTATTGTTAATTTCCTTCTGGATATTTTTCATTCTACATGAATTCCTTCTTCTATTTATTTATCTATTTATTTTATTTATTTATATACAAGAAGGTACATTGGGTTTGTAAGAGCACAGAGCATTGAAGTTTTACTTTCTCGTACAGCCACTAGCACGCATAGCATTTCCGGCAGATCCTTAATCTAACACACAATTTTAAGAAGGTAATTTCTAGCAAAATTAAAAAAAATGTTTACAGGTACATTGTAAGAAAGTATAAAAATACATTGTAAGAAAGTATAGAAATGCATTCTAAGAAAATATAAAAAAAACATTGTATAAGAAATTTGACAGAAAAAAGTAGGTACATTAAAGAAAATTTAAGGATTATCCACAGCTACATTGTTGCATAATTTGAGGAGTATTGCAAGGTATAATGTAGTAAACTATGTGTATAACATGATATAAGATAACAGCAATGATTACAATGGTAAAGTTGTATGGCATAGGTACATATATTGGGGAATTGGGTAGCACTAGATACAGTGAGAGTTTCAAGCACTAGGTAGGAAACTATGAAGATGAAATTAGGAACTTTTTGCTTTTATTTTTGTATAAGGCAACAGTTTGACAGCTTTTCAATTCATTAGGGAGTTAGTTCCATAGACCAGGTCCCTTTATTTGCATAGTGTGTTTACTCAGATTAAGTTTGACTCTGGGGATATCAAAGAGATATTTATTTCTGGTGGAGTGATTATGTGCTCTATTACATCTGTCAAAGAGAGTTTCAGAACAGGGTTTTGTAAATGTAAATGGCACAAGAGAATTCAAATTCAAATGTTTATTCAGATAAAGTACATACTGTACATACAAGGGGTGATACAAATATTTAGAGGGTGAAGAAACACTAAACCGCTTAATCTTTGCATTTGATTTCTTTAAGTCTCATCAACAATGTGACATCTTTATGAATAAACACTTTGACATTAGGGACACAGTTATACAAATTTTTAATATAAAACAAACATTTATAAGCATGAGTACACCTCATGCTACGATTATGTAGTCCCTAATTGTAGAGAGGGATGAAGGTTTAGGTGAGATGATTGCTGCTTAACTCTGGCTACTAGTTGTCTCCTGGGTCTGCTATCTTCTCTCTGGGTCAAAGGAGAGCCATCAAACCATTGTATGCTCAAAGTCTAATTCACTTGAATGTTGATTTCTGGTGTCAGTTCTTGAATGAACAAAGCTTCAAGTGTATGGAGCCTCCTTCAGTGATGTGAAGGAGCGTGTGATTATTGCGACATCCTTCACTATGTCCTGATGATTCAGGATGGCATTGTGTTGAGTGATGTTGCTTAGTTCCTCCTTCCTGCAAATGATGTGTAAGATTCTTATCTTAAAATGCCAAAAGCATTGGAGATAGAACTCCTAGGCCACAGCCAGAGAGCATGGGGGCAATGTATGAAACCCTGATCAGGCTTCAGTGGAAGCCACAGAACCCCTAGAGGATTCAGTTGAATCCCATATTGCATTGCTTTTGACCTTGTTGTGGGGTTGTTGTACTCCCAAGCATGTGCTTGGAAGTACCCAGTGTGCAGGTTGGAATCCTCCTCAGGGGGTCCTGCAGATTTTCTCTCTGGTAACATTAGGTTAGGTTTGGGTGGACGAGATAGGCTATTCAATTTATGTGTAAGATGTTGCTTTAGAGACCATGTTTTGAAAACTTATTCAGTAATATTGTTCAAAGAAATACATAAGCAGTTTGGTCATTGTATGTGTTAGAGATGTAACAGAGAAAAGTTATGCTTGTTTAGTTTGTTATAACATAAAGAAGTTATGTTCGAGTGAAGGCATTACTACATAATGTTTATATTAGTTATGAAAAGTTTACTAGCTGTTATTTAAAGAGTAATGTTAAATAAGATATATTACAAGAAAGATACCCTCTTTTAGTCTGTTCCTGCATAAAGTAGTAAGCATAGTTAAGATATCATACAAAAAGATTGTCATGTCTCTATGACAAGAACCTACATTTATTCTCAGTTTGACAAACTTGTTGCACACAAGTAACAACATTTCTGAGTGCACGTTTGAATATTCCATTTTCTGTGTTTGAGGACATTTATCCATGCACTTAACTTTTTTTCCTCTGTAATTTTCCTATCATTGTTGCTTATTATTAGCATCTTTAATATATAATTTTTGGAGAATGACAAAAAATAAATTGATAACAGTACTACTTTTAGGTTTACTTTACCCTTGTGTTGGTGTATCAAATATAATCCCAGTAACCCGACACAAGGGAGTGTCAAATATTACTACAGAAGGCATGCTGGTGCCGGAAAATATTAAGAAACGATGCTGTATCGTGTCTGGTTCCCACGTCCCCTTCATCTAAGCTGTCCCTTGTGTCCCTGTTGCAGGTGCAGCGCCGGGGAGCTACCGGGACCTGCTGGGCTCCAGCGGCACACAACAGCTGACAAATGGCTCCTTGCTCCTGACACAGGTCACCAAAGATGCAGAGGGACGCTATCTGTGTGAGGCCACCAATGGCATTGGCGCCGGTCTCAGCAAGGTCATTCAAGTTACTGTTAACGGTAAGTAGATCAAATCACCATTTTCGTAAGAAAGGCTGGGTCTCTGTTAACTGCAAACAATTCAGGTGGTTGTTATCGGCAAGGAAGGTCATATTACTGTTTCAGGAGAGGAAGTGCAGGTCAGCTTAAGAATAGGAAGGCCATGTCTTTTTTTTTCAAGAGGAATGTTGAGTCTCTGTTTCAGGAGAGGAATGTCAGGTCTGTTTCAGGAGTGGAAGGTCAGGTCTTTGTTTAAAGAGATGAAGGTCAGCCTCTGTTTCAGGAGAGAGGAAGGTCAGGTCTCTATTTATATCTTGGCAAGACAAATGCCGAGGTCATTATGTCTGATTAACTGTAGCACAAAAATAATTATTTGACTCACACATAGTATTTGATGTACTGCCAGTATTTGACTTACATGCAGTATGTAACTTATACATAGTATATGACTTATATGCAGTATTTGACTAAATGCAGTATTTGAATTACACTGATTGGAATATGCAGCAGTTCTATGGTGCACAAATCTCTAGAAGCACAAAGAAACTGGAAAAAGTGCAGCAGCATGCTACAAAATAGCTTCTCGAAATGAAAAACAAGAGTTACAAGGAGAGACTACAGACATTAAATATGCCAAAATTAGCACATAGAGGAAAAAGAGGTGATATGATTATTGCATACAAAATTCTAACAGGAATCGACCAAATTGACAAGGAGGAATTCCTGAAACCAGCAATATCATGAACAAGAGGACACAGATTCAAGCTAAGGAAACTGAGGTGCCCCCAAAAAATTGAAAGTTTTCTTTTGCAAACAGTGGTAGACAATTGGAAAAAGCTAAATGAGAAGGTGGTGGATGCCAAAACCATCATTAGTTTCAAAATGTTATATGACAAAGAGTACTGGGAAGAGACACCACGCGTGTAGAATGGAGCAATGGCCTATAGAAACCCCCATGTGGTTGAAAGCATTTTATGTCTGCCATCGACCGGGTCAGGCATCCAGAAAGGTAAGCGCCCCAACACAAACCCCCTTAATTGCTAAAAAGAGCCGAACAAATGGACAGAACTCCCCAAATGAAAACAAGCAAACTAGCATGACGTTACCACGTTGCCATGCCACTGTCTGTGCACCCCCCCCTCCCCAGGAGGGGGAAGGGGAAGCCCCAGACCTTCATGCCACCTACCCACCCTACAGTTCTTGGCTGATGTGACACTGGCAAGGTCGTATGCTTCTGGCTCCATCAAATTGTTTCAATTCTGTGCCTTGTGGTGTGGTACTGTCTCTACTGTCGGTGTGTGTGAGCCAGGAGTAATTTCTTCAGTACTCGGGGTGCATGCACTTAGGGTTTCCTTCCCTAGGTGTCCTATAAGTACTACCCTTGGGGCCTGCGGCCATCTTTCACAGGTCGCCTTGGGATCTACCTCTGCTGTGTCTTTTGCTGCTTGGTGATTGACCGCCCTTGGAGTCCGCTGTGGTTTTCCGTGTTCCCCTGTTTGTCTCTGGGTAGGGGTAGTTTTCGTCACTGGTAGGGGCGTAGGGCCCTGGGCTGCTAGTTATCACCTCACATAGCGGCCGGCTCTGTTCTGCCTGGGTACGTTGTCCTCTTGTGGGATTTTTCTTTTTGTCTAGCTAGCTAGTGGGGGATCTGCCACTTGGTGGTCATACCCTTTTGTTACTTGGTGGTCCTCTGCTAGGACCCCACTTGGGTTTTTGTACCCTCAGAGTGGGGCTTGGTGTTATATGGAGTGGGGTTCTCTTATTCTCCCTCTTCTTACAAATTGGATTTGGCGTCTACCCCTCCCCGGGTTTGGTTCTGTCTATCCGGAGGTTTTCAGACTCCTGCATCCCGCCCCATGTGGTGCGGGAGGCCATTGCAGCTTACCCCCTACGCGACCCGGATTACGCCTTTGTAATGGATCCGATTTCTTTAGTGTATGGATCATCCCTTGGTGTACGTGTATGGATCATCCCTTGGTGTACGTGTATGGATCATCCCTTGGTGTACGTGTATGGATCATCATAATGAACCCTTACTGGGTTCATTATGAGGTTCCGGAGTCTTCCTGGTTGGCAGACAGCCCTATCTTCTCATTGGAGGCTTGGCATGCGTTCTGTCGGTCTCGTACTCTTGAGTGGCGGGAAGCTCATCGTTTGTTTTGGAGGGAAGGTTAATCTAACCCAAGTATTGTATACAAAGTACATGAATTATGTTTAATATGTGCTCCAAATAATACCAGTATGTATGTATATTTAATTTAAAGATTAAAATGTTACTAACATATCACATTGAAAGCCAGTATCTATGGAAATGCATTTCCATAGATATGTTAATGTTGGTGATCTAAGTTTGATGGGAACTGAAGGAAGATCAAGAGAAGGAAATGCTGACATAGAATACAAAAAGACCTTTCATCAAAATTAAAATATAATTTTTTTTAAACTGCAAGAGCTAACAAAATAAGAAAGGCATGTGCTAATTTATAGGAGTTACATTAAACAAAATAAATTATTCCTATAATTTAAATTTTCTCAATTTTCTCTTACCATGAATTGAGGGATATATTCACAAACATTACCATGGTTCTTAAAGTTTTTTAAATTGACGTCAAAGCTTGTTCAGCCCCAGGTCCCGACGCCCTATACAGGATTATAGTTCAAAATAGAACTACTGGTATAATTTTCTTTTGACCTTTTTTTGGTCAAGTAATATTCACTTGTGGTATTATGAGCAGTTGTCTTAATTAATGTTAAACATTTTGTAATTTCACTTAAATAAGTTGATTTTATTTTGCATCTCCATTCCCTCCCTCCTCTCCATTACTACTCTCCCTCGACTCCCTCACTCCTCTCCATCACTACTCTCCCTCCCTCCTTTCCATCACTACTCCCACCTCCCTCCTCGCCATCACTACTCCCACCTCCTTCCTCTCCATCACTACTCTCACCTCCCTCCTCTCCATCACTACTCCCACTTCCACTACTCTGGTGGCACCTGCAGCGCCTCCACGGTTCAGCAGCAGGGGCAGTAACGTTAGTGCGGGCACGGGAGGGCACGCCCTGCTGCGGTGCCCAGTGACGGGGGACCAGCCCATGAAGCTGTCCTGGCACAAGGACGGCAGGATCATCACGCCATCAGAATCCTACAGGTGAGGGGAGAGCCTGCTCTCTTGCCCTCTGGCAAACACTGGTTTGTTCTTGGCTTCTCTCTCTCTCTCTACTTCTCTTTTCTTGTGTTAGTTGATTCTTCAACTAGATTCTTGAAGAATCAACTAACACAACACCTGTACCGATTATTAGTACAGTGGTACCTCGGGTTACGAACGTCCCTGTTTATGAACTTTTCGGGTTACGAGCCCGATTTGTTCGGAAAATTTGAATCGGGATACGAACTTTGCATCGGGATACGAGTTTGTTGATACGCGTACGGCCAACCTAGCGCGTGGTGGCACGGCGATCGCACCTCAGTTTAACAGTGCTTCGCGCCCAGTGACTATCCCGCCTGAATTCTTCACAGAAATTTACAGTTTTTTGTCGGATTTTTGGCCATTTGAGCATAAAAGTTGTTATTATATATCTCGCCATGGGTCCCAAGAAAGCCAGTGGTAAGGTTCAAGGCAAGAAATCACATGTGAGAATGACCATAGAGGAAAAACAAGAGATCATTCGTAAGCATGAAAATGGTACTCGTGTTGTTGAACTAGCTAGGCAGTACAACAAATCTTCAGGGGAGGAAGAGGAGGCAGTAGAGAATGTCCCTTCCTCATTAATTAAGAAAATGTGTGCAGTATGGGAAGGACTGCAAAGTTTTGCTGAAAAGAATCACCCAGATAAAGCTGTAGTAGGCCGTTGCATTGATCTTTTTAATGACAATGTGATGCCTCACTACAGACAAGTGTTGCAAAGAAGGGAAAAACAATCTTCAATGGAACATTTCCTTGTGAGAAAAGTGAGAAAATCAAGCAGTGAGCCACAACCAGGACCTAGTGGTATGCAGGCAAAACGTGCCAGAGAGTGCACTCCAGAGAAATCTTCACTGCCTGATGTTATAATGGAAGGGGACTCCCCTTCCAAACAATAACACCTCTCCTCGTCCCCCCCTCCTCACCATCTTCCATATGCCAACAGGATTCATCAGCAAGGGTAAGTAATAACTTCAACATAATTTTGTAGCGAAGATTTGGGTGAATTAGGTATAAAATTTACTTTGAAGTGAAGTTTTTTTGGAGTCAGGAACGGATTAATTCATTTCCCATTACAGTATTTCTTATGGGGAAATTCGCTTCGGTTTATGAATTTTCGGGTTACAAACCGTCTCCAGGAACGGATTAAATTCTTAAACCGAGGTACCCCTGTACTTGAAGGAAACCAACGTCGTCTATGCCTTTAAATGCCCACTTGGGGACTGTAAGCCCCAAAGAACTCAGAACATAAGCAAGACAACAACGTCTCTTTCCATGCGATTAACAATGCATAAACAACAGGGCTCCATCAAGGAACATATAATCTCTTCTCAAAACCAGACCATCACCAGAGAAATCTTAACAAACAACACAGAAATCATCGACAGATACAGCGATAGCAAGCGGCTCGACATCAGCGAGGCACTACACATCAAAAAGTCAACACCAGCAATCAACAACCAATTAATGCACAATTATATTCTACCCACTTCAAGACGCCGAAGCAATATGGAAGCAGCAAGAGGAAGTATGGACCAATAGGCCTTCTGCAGTTACAGTACTTCCATTTTTATGTTCTCATATCCAAGTTATACCCATTGTTTCGTGTTCTGTCTTGTGTTTGTCACAAGTTTGTTCACCTCACCCAAAACTTTTTGTATCATGTCACCTCACCCAATAGAGTATAAGTACGATGAATTTGTGTGTAAATTAAGTCTTTGAAAATGTAATAAGCCATTACGAAATGCATTCAGGCGTCAGACCATAAATAAAAAGGAATTTTGGAGAATTGATATTTCCATTACCACCGACAGTGAAGAAAAACATAAGAAATATTGAGAAAATTTGTGTCAGAATTATTAATCTTACCTTTTCGGTCATATTCAATAACATATGTATACAAGAAAGACTGCTACCAAAATATACCAAAATATACCAAAATATACTAATATTATATATTATATATATTATATATATATATATATATATATATATATATATATATATATATATATATATATATATATATATATATATATATATATATATATATATATATATACACACACATATATAATTATGTATTATACAGTATATTATGTCCAATAATTCATCAGTAGGAAAATATATTTAAAATGTGCATCTAAGGATCTACCATAGCTTTGGATTTCCATACAAGCATTTAACCAGCCACTATGACTGCATGGTTATGTTTCGCCAGACACGAGTTGCGAGAGAGCACCGCGGGTGGCGTTGGCGTGCATGTGGGTGGGGCCGAGGAGGAACGGGTGCTGGAGCTGGTGGTGACGAATGTGATGCGTGAGGACGGAGGTCAGTACGTGTGCACGGCCGACAATGCTCACGGACACGCCTCCACCACTGTGACTCTTCTCGTGCAAGGTGAGTGCAGATATTGAGGGCGTGGGGTGTGTGGTATTCTGTGTTGCTGTGGAAGTCTTGGTTGTGGAGTTGATAAAAAGCCATTGCTTGGTTACTGACTTTAATACTTATAATGATACATGACTAGCAGCATCCATGCGTGGCAGGCATCTACACGCTCTCCCGTTGTTGACTTACATGCTGGCGTATGAAACGCAGCGCATACAAAAGGATGGTGCCATTTTCTATGAACATGACAGGGTAGAAGGTGTAGGTGGGAGAGTTGGCGAGAAAGAATAAGCATCATCATAAAGGATATCCAAAGACAGTCGTCTCTAACTAGAAAATTATTCCCTGGATCAGCAGTGGAATATGTCATGACCTCACCTCAACCCTTGTACAGGGATGGACAGGCTGAGGTAGTATGTGACATGCCTAATGGAGTGCAAGGACTTGTCCAAGAATGTAAATTAGAAGGATCTCCAGCAAGATAGTTGGAGTGGCGTGTAAATGAGGAGCTAAGACCACAGAGAAGAATGGCAGACTAATCAAGAAAGTGTTCGTTGAGGAGTGGAACCACTTCTCCCTGCTATAGCAGTTGAACTAGAGCAAGAACTTACAGAAGAACCATATAAGAAGGATGCTCTTACATGAAGGTAGGAGGATATTGGATGCTGAGGATTCGAAGATGTGCTATAAGGACAGGGTCTTCTGCTCCAGGGATGCAACGAATAAAGTTAATGCATGTTTTCATGAGCAAGGAGACATAGGTTGTCAGACAATGGGATCAAGACCATTGTTTGCCTCTCAGTAAGTGGGAAAAAAAATTTGCCAAGGTAAGAGTTCAATCTCAATCTGTCTCAATCTGTTCTTGCTAGAGAGATGAAGGAGAGGGAGATTTGATCAAAGTCTTCAATCAGGTAGGAGAACAATCAGACCACATTAACTGATAATTAACTTCCATTTCACTGCTGACAATCATCAGTCATATACTAGCATGCTACCTTCCATCGATCCCAATAAACAGTGTCAAATTCTAGAATGTTTACAAACATTGTACTTTAACCTCACCATCCTCCACAGAACCCCCCGATCTGCCCCGGTCTCTCCACGTAATAGACAAGGGTTCACGGCACGTTCGGCTGGCCTGGGAGGTGCCTCAAGATGGCAACTCACCCATCACCAAGTATACCCTTCGATACACACGACTGGGAGGTATGTACACAGGTAGCTAGAGCTCACCCATCACCAAGTATACTGTACTCTTCAATCCACATGACTGGAAGGTATGTACACGGGTATCTATGATGTGTAACTAAGTATAAGGTACCTTGCGGTTACCTTGCAGTTACGTTGCAGTGATTCCAGGGGTCAAGGTCCCACAGCCCGGTCTGTGACCAGGCCTCACCTATAACCAGGTAGGTGTCGTTTACTGTATGAGTGTAAGTTGTTGCACACTCCCTCTTTGCAACACATGGGCCTTGGAACACTAACAGCTTCCACTAACAGCTAAAAAAAAAAATAACTATTTACCCCAAAGTTTAAGCTCAAATTAATATTCTATTACTTCAGCAGACTGGCAGCAGCAGCCACAGCAACAGAAGCAGCAGCAACAGCAACAGATGCTACAGATTCAGCAACAACAGCAGCAGGAGAAGGAGGAGGAGGTGGCAGTTGGCGGTCATGAGACAGAGGCCACAGTTGAGACCTTGACTCCAGCTACTCAGTACCTCTTCACACTCTATGCCCACAATGCCATGGGCCCCTCCAAGCCCTCTGAGGTAAGGGGGAGGAGTTGGGTGCAGTGAGGGGCAAGGGGGGGGGTGGAGGAAAGGGTAAGGACAAAGCATGTGTTTTCTTTATTGTCCCCTTTAAGTATTCTATAAGGTCTCCTGTTGTGAGTTAAGAGAACTCAGTATGAATTTAAAGGTAAATATCTATTTAGATTATGTGCTATATGGAGGAAGAGGAATCAATCAAGTTTCAAAATCAATTAATCAATCAATCAATCAATATCTATCTATCTCAATGTATATCTCTTAATACATATATATATATATATATATATATATATATATATATATATATATATATATATATATATATATATATATATATATTAAGAGATATACATTGAGATAGATAGATATTGATTGATTAATTGATTTTGAAACTTGATTGATTCCTCCTCCTCCATATATATATATATACACACACACACACACACACACACACACACACACACACACACACACACACACACACACACACACACACACACACACACAAAAAAAAAAAAAAAAAGTCAACAACAACAACATATGTTGTTGAATGTGACTGAAAGGGTAAGATTAATGATCCTAACACGAATCTTCTCAATATTTCTTATGCTTTTCTTCACTGTCGAGGGTAGTTGAAAAATTAACTCTCCAAAGTTCATTTTCACATTTTATTTACGGTATGATGTCTAGAAGCGTTTCGCTAGAACCGTCTTACATTTTCAAAGACAATTTTACATACTCTGTTCATGCTTATATTCATTTTTGGGTTAGGTGATAGGACACATTTGTTTTTGGTCAGTTGAATGATTGACAGTTGAAAGGCAGGCCAAAATAGCAGAGTTCAACCCCCGTAAGCACAACTAGGAGAATACATGCTATCTCCTCCTCCTTCCTGAAGGCGCTGCAGGTGACGACAGAAGGTGAGGCCCCTGGTGGACCTCCGAGGGAGATAGAGGTCACGCCTGTATCCTCCACCAGTCTGAAGGTTTCTTGGTTGCCACCAGACTCTTCCATCAGGCACGGCAAGATCCTCGCTTACTACATTACCTACGGCAACTCAGGGTAACTAGCCTGCCTGCCTTGCATGCTAGTGCATGAGTCTTTGTTATGGGAAGATCTTAAATTTGTATACAGACAATCACATATACACATACATATAAAGAAAAATGCACACACACATATTTTACATATTTTATATACACCAATGTATCAACACCTACATCAGAGGAGCTCCAGCATATTTCAACAATCCTAAGTATTGTAGTACAGGTTGATGATAGTGAGAGGTGTCCCAAGGAACAAAGGTGTTGTGCTTTTGAAAAATAGGTGAGATAACACAAATGCGACAAGGGAAGTGAAAAAATTGGATGATAAATTATTGCTCTTGTGTTAACAATACAGACGACAACATTCAAGATGGCCACCGGCAAGAGGAAAAATAAAACAAAGCTAGAGTTTGGGGGATTCAATGAAGAAAGCAATGATATAAGCAGTCTACACAACAAGTTGGCAAAATTAAATATCATAGTGAACTATCATGTAGAAATAATCACTAAATTGAGAGAAAGTAATGACCACTTGAGTAGCAAAGTTTTAGGTCTCGAGGGGTTAGTGAAAAACTTATGCAAGGACAAGAATCAACTGGAAACATATTGTAAAGCTATGGAAGAGGAAAATAAACTCTTAAAAATAGCTTTGGAAGAGATTAAAGCAAATTTAAACATAAATGACTACAATAGGTTAGGTAAGGAAATTCAACAGGGAAAACATCTTTTGTAAATACATATGGAGGAATTTACACAGGGAATAGAACAATGCAAGAAGGATGTGCAATTCACTTATGCACAAGTGGCCAAGGAGAAGGAAAACAATAGAAGAGGCAGTAAAGGAAGCCAAACACTGCAGTAACCTGAACAAGACAAATATTAGGCTGGAAGTGAGAAAGGAACTGAAATCTAACCCGAAGTTGGTGCAAAACACAGTTGGTCGAAGTAAGTCCTTAATAATGTTTGGTTGCAAAGAAAAGGAGATAACATCTAGGTCAGAAAGAGCTACAGAAGAAGCAAAAGTAGTAGATAAAATTGTTGGTTTCGTGGAAGGTCTTACAACCATAGAGAATGTCTGGGACTACAGTAGGATTGGCAGGTACGTAAAAGGGAAAAATCTTCCTTTGAGATCACCCTAAATGGTGCCAAACAGATAGAAGAAGTACTAAGGAATGCTAGAAAATTACAAAAGTGATGAGGAAGGGAAAATATGGTCGTTAAGATGAGATCTTTGAAGAGAAGACAGAGAGAAAAGCTGAAACTGAACCTCGTAGTGGCAAAACGTCTAAATGAGAGCAGGGACGAAGAAGAAATTAATTCTTTATTCTACAGAGTGATAGGGGTAGGCAGGCCAGTAAAATGGTACAAAAAGACAAACCAACAAAATTGCTAGAGAAAGGGGTAGTGAAGAATAAGGAGGGCGGGAACATATTCCTGAAAATTGTATACACCAACGTAGATGGAGTGAGATCAAAGATACTGGAGTTAAATGATGTAATGCAGATGCCAGACATTGTTGCAGTCATGGAGATGTAACTTGAAGATGATATTTTAAACGAGGTCATATTCCCAGGGGGGGCTACTTAGTTTGGAGACAGGATAGAAAAATTAGGAAAGGCAGTGGTGTTGCTGTGCTGGTGAAAGAACACCTGAAGGCAAATAATATAATGATTATCAATCCACGAGAAGTTGACGTAATAGCACTGGAGATCTGCAATCGGGATGATAAACTAATGATCATAAATGCGTATACTCCATAGCCATGCAACACATGGACAAAGGAGAAGTTGGATAATAAACAAAAGGGACTCATAACAATAATGAGAGAGATTATAGTGAGAGCTGATAAAGATAGATCACGACTGTTGGTAGTCGGGGACTTCAACTTGAAATCCATAGACTGGGAAGTATATGAAGCTAGAACAGAGGACTTTTGGACCTGTAGATTCATAGATCTCATCCTGGAAACATTCTTGTATCAACATGTTAAACAAGCTACGAGGATGAGGGAAGGGGATGTTCCCTTCATGCTAGATTTGATATTTACCAGGAAAAAGGAAGAGATATTTGACATTCAATACCTTCCTCCCTTGGGTAAAAGTGACCATGTCTTTTTGGGGAATAAACTAACGCACCGAAAAACAGTGGAGTAATTTTCTGTGATTCAGGTCTTCAGGCCCTTAAAACCCAACATGCAAAATAGACACTAGGAATGTTGTAACATCCATTATAAACAACATTATTAATTCAAAGAGCAAGAGTATTAGAGTCTCATTTGTATGGATACCATCTCACATAGGTGTTGTCCAGCATGATGCCCGAAACGCTGCGCGTACTACTGTAGTGGCTTTACAAGAATGTAAATACTGTACTATCCAATGTATTCTCACAAACCCAATGTACCTTCTTGTATATATATAAATAAATAAATAAATAAATAAATAAATGATGACACAGACAAGGCAGCTAAAACTGCATGTGATAAGCCTGAAGTTGAGTTGGATATGGCCATTCCGATTTTGATGCACATGAATACAGTATGTCAATTAAAATACTGTTAATACTGCTATTGGGAGAGCTTTCAGACAAACGTTTCAGGAATGGAATTCCCCCAGTTTGAAAGCCTCAATTTTTGCATTAATCCTGTCACTAACAAAGCTGTTTCAATATCTTTTATCTTTTATATTTAAATAAAATAAAGCCAATTTAATAGGCTTATGTTTATGTTTACATAACATCAAGTGTTCATCCAGATCCCTGTAATTTGGTGCTCAAGTAATGCAAAAGTAAGGAGAAATCTATGGAAAGTCGGCAAATCCACACGACGTCAGATAATTTTGACAAGAAAAATTTCCATTCATCAAAAACAGATAAATATCTCCCAAATCACTAAACAAAACCTTTTTCTAAGCTGGTTAACACTTTCTCGCTCTTGGCAAATGAGAAAAAACTTGCCCATTGTGCACGCTGCGTTTCGCGCGGTCGAGCAGCAACACTGAAAAGTGTAAACTCTTTTCACTGTCCTGATCTTAATTTTCAATGTACGTATTTCATTTTTGTAGCAATGTGTTCGCAATAGAATGTTCTAGAAGAATATATGTATAAAATGTCACCAAAGCATGAGTTAGACCAGCACCTAATAAAGAACTACGTCGATCACTAGCCGTGAGCGCCAAACAGCGTTGAAATGTTTCTACTCTTTTCAGGGTTTTCAACTCCACACTTGTCCTACAGCGTTAAATTTAGTATCACTGAGATCGCAATAAAATTCCCTATGTGGACATATGCATATAAATGTATAATCATGGTCGCGGCCCACCCGCAAGAGTGTGGGAAGTGGCCGAAGTGTTACCCGTTACCACACACTCGACGGCACATCAGCGAGACCCCTATTGAAAAGTGTATACTCTTTTCACTGTTCTGACCTTAATTTTCGATGTACGTATTTCATTTTTGTAGCAATGTGTTTGCAATAGAATGTTCTAGAAGAACATTAGTATAAAATGTCACACAAGGATGCGTTAGACCGGCACCAAATAAAAAAACTACGTCGATCACTAGCTGTGAGCGCCAAACAGCAACGAAATGTTTCTACTCTTTTCAGGTTTGTCACGTTTAGACTTGTTGTACACCGTTTTTATTTGTAGCACAATGATCGCAATACAATTCCCTACACGGACATATGCATATATAATCAAAATAATGGGCAAGCCCCACCTGTAGCAAAGCCCAAACCTTACAGCAACCCGTTAGCCACACCCGCTACACCCAAAAAAAACTTCATGAAGTTTCCCGTTTACTTATAGAAGTTTATGTGATACAGTGTTCATTTTGGTATCAAATTAGTCGCAATAAAATTGTCTACAAAACGTATAAAACATAATATGTTATTTATAAAAACTTATACAAAGTATGCGTACTTACCAAGGGAAAGATGATGGTAGAACAATAAGTTGAGCATTTTTTTATTCCACTCCACCTCCTTCAGGTCAACTTTCCTGAAGTTGCTCAACAGATGTTTCGTAAGTGGAGTGAATCTGTTGCAGGTGGTTACTTCTTTTCCACCCAATACAGTATACCTTTTTCCGGTGGTATGTTGTGTAGCAAGGTATAACACACAGTCCAACATCAACGTTTTGCATCCTATGCTAGTGTCCCTCCTTTTGCCTGACATGTAACAAACATGACACCTTAGACGTTTTGGTATTTTTACAATTTCATGTGTGAGCTTGAGACAACTTGCTTGTTTTTCCAAAGTATAATGAATGTGTTATCTTTGCGGCGGTGCAGGGTGGTATCCAATGGAAGTTTACCCGTTGCTTGCTGTTGCAGTTCCTTCGGTGAGCTACGTTGCAGTCTTAGTGTGCCACATGTGTAAACCCCAACTTCTTGTAACTTCTCTGTCAGGGTAACTGAGTTGTAGTACATCGTGTACAGATGATGACCCTTGTTCACTAGGGGCTGAATCAAGCCTATGACGGTTTCGATTGTCATTTTTCCAATGCCACAATATACATCAGTCATATTTGTAGCCAGATGTTGATTCAGCCAGCATGTAAAGTTTTACACCATATTTGTCTGGTTTGTTGGGATTGTACACATTGAAAGAGAGTTGGCCATGCCATGCCATTGTACCTTCATCCAAATACAATTCTTTCTTTGGAACGTAAACTTCTGCAAATTTTGTTTTCAAATAATCAATCACTGGTCGCACTTTTATCAACCTGTCAGTATTGTTCAAGAGAATTGCATTGTTATTATAGGTATGGAAGAACTGGCCAATATGTTGCTTTATTGCAACATGCCCAAAACACTTTGTGTAAAAGTGGCTTTAGGCTTTGTATGTACTAGCTCTATCTGTAAATTCATCAATATTTGTATCACACCCTGTATGTATGTACTTTGCCTGAATAAACATTTGAATTTTGAATTTTTTGAATTTGAATGTTTGAACCGTCTCGTTGCCATAAATATATTGAAGAAACGAGCATGCCAGGGTTTTTTTGTTTGCCAGTACACCCTCGTGGTTGGGAGCTTGTATATCCCCATCAATATAGATAGGCCCAAATATCTGGCCATTTCTTTTACCGTGACTGGTTTCCACAATTTCCTGACGTTCTCTGAAGCATTCCGTATAAGTTGTGAGGCATACAAGTTTGTTTCTATGGTTGAAAAATCAATAAACGCTCGTGTAAAAAATAGTTGAATAAATTGTATTGCAGTCATGGGTGTGGGAATGGTTAGGCCTGGTGTTCCAGTAAAATCATCTACAATTGGTGGAGAGTTGCTACAACTACAGATATTACCAGCCTTAGGCTGTCGATTACGTACCGTACATGTTCGCTTTCGACTATGAGGCGGCGGGGCAGGTGCCTCTTCCTCACTCTCCTCCTCTCTTGTATAATCGTCACTATTGCCGTTGGAATCACTGACAGGTTCTTCAGTTGGTTAAGTTTTCCTACGACAACAGATATTACCTGTATCCAGCTGAGCTTACATTCAGAACGTGTGCACTTTGTGATAGGCGGCAGCGGGGCAGGTGTGTCTTCCTCACTCTCCTCCTCACTTGTAGATACATCATATGCTCCTGTTTCATGTTCGGCATTATCCCTGTTGAAATCATCAAAATCAGGTTCATCCCCTTCAATATTATCCTCAATGTCAGATAATGCTGCAACAAGCCCCAGAATCTTTGTGGGTGAGAGCCTCACCCCACTGTACTTTTTGTAAATCATACTTATCTTCGTCTTCTTTTGATGAATTCTTCGCTCCTTTAGGCGTAGCACTGCTTGAGCCTTGACCAGGATCCACCGTAAATGTATATAATGGGTCAAAAACACACGGGAACGGGTATAAATACGGAAAACCGACCAAGTTTGGCGCGCAAGGGAAGAGCGGTGCGGGCACTCGTCGCGCATTTTGAAACTATCTTCTTGAGTTATTTTGAGATGATTTCGGGGCTTTAGTGTCCCCGCGGCCCGGTCCTCGACTAGGCCTCCACCCCCCAGGAAGCAGCCCGTGACATAACACCCAGGTACCTATTTACTGCTAGGTAACAGGGGCATTCAGGGTGAAAGAAACTTTGCTCATTTGTTTCAGCCTCGTGCGGGAATCGAACCCGCGCCACAGAATTATGAGTCCTGCGCGCTATCCACCAGGCTACGAGGCCATATCCCCAAGTCGATCGGATAAAAAATGGATTTTTTAGAAATATTTTTTCTCGTAACGCGTGAGCGAGTCTACTAGTGGTTTCTCTATCATTAGTGTTATGATTTTTCTGTTCTCCCATTTATCAGCTGATCCACCCATCAATCATCTTAGCCATTCATCCATTGGCCCACCCACCCATCGATCTATTGTCCCACCAAACAATCTATTGGCCAACCCACCTATCTATCAGCTCATCTACTCATCTATCCAACCCATCCTCCTAATAGAACGTCGCATTTTGAAGTACTGTATTCTCTACCTAAGGCCAAAAATTGTCTCAGTAGAAAATGGTAGCGGCTCGTGAAATTGACATACTGTCCTGTTTTCTGTTTTGGATCCTCTGTTAGGTTAAGAGATAGGCACTTTAGTACAACAGTTTCTTGACGTTTTGAAACCTTAGGAGGGCTGATCTATCAGCTCAACCACCCATCTACTGGAACTCCCACACATTTATTGACCCACTCACCTATCTATCAGCAAATCATTCATCTATCAGCCACCCACCCATCTACATGCCACGCTCCTATCTAACTGCCCACCCACCTATACATATATATTACTTCCACTGACAGCATCGCCAGTGACCAGTACAAGAGCGTCACTGTGGAAGCAGACAACTGGCCTTCTTCCTCTTCATCCAGCTCCTCGCTGTCGTCATCGTCTCCTACATCATCGTCATTGTCGTCGTCGTCGTCGTCTCCGGGAGGGTGTTGCTCGGCGCTGGTGACGGAGCTGGCACCGTACACGGAGTACGTGATGGAGGTACAGGCAGTGAATGCCCAGGGGGCTGGCCCTTCAGCTCCTCCCGTTACTGCCACTACACTCGAAGATGGTAAGGCTGGAGAGACTACCAGTGGCCACAAAGCTGGGGTCCAAGAGCTAAAGCATAATTCTGTAGACACCTGGTTTCCATGACTCTGAGTGTAGAAGGGTTGGGGTAGTGCTGTGGTGAGCTTGGATAGTGACAGTGTGGCTCGATCTCTTAATTTTCCACTCCATAAATAATGGAATTGTTTTGCCTAACCAGTAATGTAAGAACCCAAGGGACTTCCCTAAGAAAATTAAATAATTAATTAATTGTAATCAATTAAATAATCTGGTGTAGGAACCTTAAGGAGACTACCTGCTTGCCTCTGTGATCTCTCCTAAAGGAACATATGGATTTAGTTACACTACACTTTACAGATATTGGTTAGAATATTTTGTCATCATATCTTAGGGAGGAGACACAGATAGGGAACACAGTTTTTCACTGCCTCTCTTACTTCATCTTTTTTTATCATCTGCCCCATGCTCATCTCTTTCCCCCTCTCTATCTCTCCAGAAGATATCATTATTTCAATCTTCCCCACAGTGCCATCGTCTGCTCCTGGAGCTCTGAGGTGTGCACCAATGACAGCCCACAGTGTCCTGGTCTCCTGGGATACCCTCCCACCTGCCCATGCCCGTGGACACCTTCTGGGATACCGCATTCTCTACGCCCCTGCTGACAGAGGTAAGGGTAGAAGGTTGGATGTGGTGTACTTGGCAGTATACCAAGTCCAACTTTAAAGCACATCTAGTTTTGTCACCGCCCTTGCATCAACTGACAACAACAACATTCGAGCCTTGCCAAATTATAAACTTTGATGCGTCACCCAACATTAACCCCTCGTGCAGTCATTGGGAGAAGAAATTTTGTATTCAACTTGCACGTACCATAAAGAATGAAAAAGGAGTGACTGACTGTGAGGCAGGAGACATAATGTGCATCCACCCTTTCTAACTATAATCAACCATGCTACACAATAACCCACTGCTCCAGCAACACCTCCCTGAAGTGAACTCTCTTCTCTTCTCAGCCACAGAGCTGAGCGGAGAGACGACGTCCTCAGTGAGCGTGGCACTGCGGGGACTGCGGCCCTACACCAACTACTCCCTGCAGGTGGTAGCGTTTACCAGGGTGGGCGAGGGACCCCCAAGCGAACCCGTCTTCTGTACCACTGAGGAAGACGGTGAGTTGGCTCCTGTTCGCTCCTAGTCTCATCCACAGACAAACATAGTAAAATGTGTCCAGAAGTTCACAGCTGAATGTGTGGCATATCAATAGTGATGATTGAGATGACGATGCTTATAGTGATTGTAGTTATAACATAATCAATGCCTATTTAACCTTTTTATCCTGCATGTGGGACAGTGCCAGGGCCCCCGGCAGGCGTGAAGGCAGCACTGTCCAGGCCGGAGAAGATGGTAGTATCCTGGCTGCCACCTACTAATAGCAACGGTCGCCTGCTCACCTACACCATCACTATCAGGGGCAGAGATGTTAAAGTTAGTGCTTAAATTGATTTATACAACTGTTGTGTTGTGTTTCTTGTGTGATACAGTAATTGGATACATTCAAGTTATTTCTTAATAAACAAATGGTATCACTTGAGCTCATTAGTGGCTTTATGACTTTTTTTTACCAGTTTATTTTTCATTAACCTTTTTCTCAACCATTCACTTTCTAATTTAAGGTTTTCTATTTTTCTGTCTATCTGCATTCACCTAATTGTGCTTGATGGGTAGAGCTTTGGCACTTTTGTCCCGTCTCTCCACTGTCAATCATCTGGTGTACAGGTTCCTGAGAATATATTTATTTAGTGTACAAGAAGGTACAATGGGTTTATAAGAGTACATAGCATTGAAGTTTTTACATTGTTGTAAAGCCACTAAGTAAGTAATTATCAAAAGAAGGCACCAAACCGGGAAGGCTATGTAGCACCATCAAATACGCAAAATAATCAGAGGGCGCTAAATATCACCAAGGATGCCAATACGAGAACAAAAACGCATAAGGCGAACGATATCAAAAGTATCCGAGTCACCAAGAATTCTATCGAGGGACAGGTGACCGCGAGGGGCGGTCGGAAAGCAAGACACACGCTCGTCCTGGAAGTCAGGACATTCAAGAAGGACATGCACGACCGTAAGAGGGACAATGCAACTAGGACAATAAGGAGCAGGGCGGCGCTCCATCAAGTGACCATGGGTTAAGCGAGTATGGCCAATACGCAACCTCGCTAGAGCTGTTTCCCACCGCCGGTTACGGTGGAAGGAGGACGGCCACGAGGAAACACAACATTTAAGAGTACGTAGCTTGTTACCAGTAACAGACAACCAAGAAGCCTGCCAACGGGTAAGGACTGAGGAATGGATAACCGGGTAAAAGTCGGAATACGGAATGCCTTTACGAGAGATGGGACAAGAGCGGACAGCTTCCTTAGCGGCAGCATCCGCACGCTCATTTAAAGACACGCCAATATGGCTGGGAACCCAACAAAACTCAACCGACTTAAATTTACTGTGAACGAGAAACAGCCAATGCTGGATCTCGACAACTACCGGATGAACTGGATTAAAGCACCCGAGAGCCATGAGGGCACTACGAGAGTCAACAACAACCACAAAGGAAGACTGACAACGAGAAAGCAGGAGACGAAGAGCATAGAGAATAGCATAAAGTTCCGCTGTAAAGATGCTAGTCTCCGGAGGCAAGCGACACATATAAGTGCGATCAGGAAAAACAACAGAGTAGCCAACACCGTCCGCTGACTTAGACCCATCGGTGAAGACAGAAACGGAGCGGGAGTGAGAAGAAAAGTGCTCGAGGAAAAGGCGTTTTAGAACTGTAGGAGGGGTAAAAGCTTTAGTGATACGAGTCAAGGATGTACAAAACCGCGGAAGAGGGACCCTCCACGGGGGCAAAGAAGGAACAACACGAGGAGAAACATCAGAAATACGAACGGAAAGAGAATCCTGTAGGCGAGATAACCGGACAGAAAGAGGGAGGTGGTGAAGAGGAACAGGAACCGCAGGAGGGGTAAAAGTTAAAGCACGACAGAGACGAGAGGAAGGATGTTGCAAGGACCGCGCAAGATAGCGAAGACAGTAGCGATCACGGCGGTCCTGGAGAGACAGGAAGCCAGTGTCAACATACAAGCTAAGGACGGGAGTCGAACGAAAGGCACCAGAACTGAGGCGCAACCCAGTATGGTGCAAAGCATCAAGACGGCGAAGAGTAGAAGGAGAAGCAGACGAGTAAGCAGGGCAACCATAATCGAGCTTAGACAGGACGAGAGAGGAATGTAAAGCAAGGAGAGTGCGCCTATCTGCCCCCCAAGAAGTATGGGACAAGACCCGAAGGAGGGTAAGGGACTTAGAGCACTCAACACGGAGGTAAGAGATATGGGGAGACCAAGACAAACGAGTGTCAAGGAATAACCCCAAAAGCTTCGCGGAATCTTTGTATTCAAGGGGATGACCATAAAGTGACAAAGAGGGACGAAGAACAACCCGTTTCCGCGTAAAAGTCATGGCACAAGTCTTAGAAGTAGAGAACTTGAAGCCATGACCTGTGGCCCAAGACGACACGGCATCAATCGCAAGTTGAAGCCGGCGTTGAAGGAGAGGCGAATCATCACCCTGACAACAAAGGGTAAGATCATCGACATAGAGAGCGGAGAAGACACCAGAAGGAAGAGAGGAAAGAAGACCATTGAGGGCAACCAGAAAAAGAGTAGTGCTCAGAACACTACCCTGGGGCACACCTTCGTATTGCTGAAAAGAGGGAGAGAGAGCGGTACCAAGGCGCACCCGAAAGGAACGACGAGAGAGGAAGCTGCGGAGAAAGAGAGGGAGATGACCACGAAGGCCAAAAGAATGAAGTTGAGATAGGATATGATAACGCCAAGTGGTGTCGTAAGCCTTTTCTAGGTCAAAAAGGACGGCAACAACGGAGGTCTTCGCAGCAAAAGCAGTACGTATATAGACCTCCAAGTTCACCAGGACATCTGTCGTGCTGCGGCACTTGCGGAAACCAAATTGAGAAGGGGAGAGGAGGTGATGGTGTTCCAGGAACCACATCAGACGAACGTTAACCATACGTTCAAAGAGTTTGCAGACACAACTTGTGAGAGCAATAGGGCGAAAGTCCTTAGGGGAAGTACCCAGAGACCCCGGTTTGCGAACAGGGAGGACAACGGCATCGAGCCAGTCCTCAGGGACTGACGACGACTCCCAGATCCGATTATACAGACTCAGTAAATACTGAGACGTGCTCGGAGGGAGATGGCGAAGCATCTCATAATGAATACCATCGGAGCCCGCCGCCGTAGAACCGCAGAGGGCCAGGGCAGAACGAAGTTCAGAGAGAGAGAAGGGATCATTATAGGGAAGCTGAAGATGAGTGCAGAAATCTAAAGGACGAGACTCAAGGACAGGTTTACGAAGAAGGAAAGATTGGGGAAGATGAAGACCAGAGCTAACAGAAGAAAAGTGGGAACCCAGTTCGGAAGCGACCTGCAACGGGTCCGCCACAAGAGTATCATGGAGGTGAAGGACCGGTGAAACATCGGGAACGAACTTACCCGCTATCTTGCGGATACGCTTCCAGATCTGGGCCAGAGGGGTTTCGGACGTAATTGTCGAGACATAAGATGCCCAACATTCACGTTTAGCCGTACGGATGGCCCTACGGGCCACCGCACTCGCTTTCCGAAAGAAAAGAAAAGAATCGGTCGTCTGCCTACGGCGGTGCTTCTTCCAGGCTGCACGCTTACAGCGGACAGCCCGAGCACAGTCCGCATTCCACCAGGGAACGCACTTCCGTGGACCCCGAGAGGAAGAGCGAGGAATAGAGCGGAGGGCAGCGTCGAAGACAGTGTCATGAAAAAGGAGGAGAGCGCGAGAGAGGGGCAGAAGGGAGAGGTCAGAGAGAGTAGCACTGAGGGAAAATAGGGTCCAGTCCGCCTTAGCAAACTGCCACCTAGGGAAAGAGAGGGAAGGGCGAAAAGAGAAAAAGGAAACAAGGATGGGGAAATGATCACTTCCATGGAGGTCATCAAGAACCTGCCATGTGAAATCTAAGTAAAGAGAAGAAGAGCAGAGAGAAAGATCAAGACAAGAAAGGGTGCGAGTTCGAGAGTCCAAATGAGTGGGCTCACCAGAATTCAGAAGAGACAGGGAAGAAGAGAGGAGAAACGGCTCAAGGAGGCGACCCCGGGTATTCGTCAGAACGTCACCCCAAAGAGAATGACGACAATTGAAGTCACCCAGCAGGAGCACAGGCTCCGGCAAGGAGTCTAGGAGGTGTTTCAAATCAGGAAGAGAGAGCGGGACACTCGGGGGGAGATAAATGGAACAAACTGTGTACCATTTCCCCACAAAGATACGAGCAGCAGAACAATGGAGAGGCGAAGGAAAAAGTAAAGGAACAAAGGGAACATCAGCCCGAATCAAGAGAGCAGAAGAATTAGAAGCCCCAGCAATGGCTGGGGGGGGGGGGAGAGAAAGGAATAGCCACGAAAACGACCAGGACGAGCACCAAGCATCGGCTCCTGGAGACAGACACAAAGGGGCGAAAACCGCGAAACCAGAAGTTGGAGTTCGAGGAAATTGGCGTAATAACCTCGAACGTTCCATTGAAGAATGGACAACGACGAGAAGAGAAAGGACAAAAACAGAGAACAAGGAAGAAACAAAGGCGAAAGACCAACAGAGCACGTTAAAGAATATCAGGGTCGGGATCAGGGTCAGCAAAGTCAGGGTTAGGGGGCATGGGTAAACTGAGCAAAGACGGAGGGAAGGAAACGGGAGAACAGATCAGAGGTGGGCGGGCAGGGTCCGGAGGAGGAGGAGGAGGAGGAGGAGGAGGAGGAGACAACGGAGAGGAGCAGTCAAGGACAGCAGCAGGAAGAGGGGGAGTAGAAAGAGAGGAGCGCACCCCAGCAAGAGCAGCAACCGAAAGGGAAGCAGGGGCCAAAGAAACCTCCATAGCAGGAACAGGGGGCGCAAGCACTGAAACGGGAGGGGAAGGAGCAACAGAGCCAGAAGGAGGAGCTGAGGAAGAAAGCGAAGCCTTCTTACCCGCCGGGGAAGAGGAAGGAGAGGAGCCAGGCTTACGCTTCTGACTTAAAGAGACCGGTGTCCCAGCAACTACGTACCGGGCAACGGATTCCAGTGTCTCAACAGGAGAAGCCGAACGAGAGCACACACGACGGCCGTTAGGAGAGCGATGGACATCCGCCCGCACCGACAGGCGGCGGGGAGAGCCGATAGATGGAGGAAGAGGATGGGAAGGAGGATCGGAGGGGGACGAGGAAGGAGACACAGAAGACACGACAGACCGGGTAGAAGGAAGGGGAACCCCAGACAGAGGACCAGGAGGAGGATCCTTCGGGAGAGAACCCAAAGGGACAGAGGAGGGGGCAGTGGGCGCATCAGGGTCCAAGGCCTGGAAACGGTTGTGAGTCTGAGGAAGGCGGGAAGGACGAGGAGAGGAAGAGCGCAACACGCGAGCATAAGAGATATTAGCATAAGGCGGGAGCCGGCGAACCTGGCGCCTCGCCTCAGGAAAAGATAAACGCTCCCGGTGCTTCAAGTTGAGGACGGCTGCCTCAAGCTTGTAATGGACACACGCACGGGAGAAGGTAGGATGGGCCTCACCGCAGTTGAGGCAACGAGCCTGGGGAGAAGCGCACTCCGACTTAGAGTGACCTTCGCCACCACACAAAGGACAGAGAGAGACAGTCCCGGAGCAGCGGAGGGCACCATGCCCAAACCTCCAGCACTTGTTGCAGAGCCGAGGAGAAGGAATGTACTCCTGGACAGAGCACCTGGCACCAGCAAGAATGACAGAGGGTGGAAGGGTCCTACCATCAAAGGTAATCTTCACAACCCGGAGGGGTTGACGGCGACTACCACGAGGGGGACGAGTAAACGTGTCCACCTGGAGAATAGAATGGCCCTGGGCAGCGAGGATATGTCGAATATCGTCGTGGCAGTCGCGTAGGTCCCGAACACCGGTCGCAACATGGGGCGGGAGCAAAATAGTGCCAACACTGGCATTCAACTGAACGTTCTTCGAGACCCGAACGGGGGTCTCGCCAAGGCAGGATAAGGCAGCCAAGCGGGAAGCAGCATCCTGAGAAGGAGCAGCAACGACACGTGTACCGAGACGAGTGGGGTTGAAAGTAATGGAGGCATCCACGGAATCAATGAGATGTCGATGGAGGGAGAAATCGTCAGGAGGCGCAGAATCAAGAGGGAGGAGATCAAAATATTTGGCCCACGAAGCGGGACCAAACAAGGCTTGATAGGTAGCAGAACTGGAAGGAATCGAGCGAGGGCGGCCGTGACGAAGACGGCGGTGAGAACCCCCAGAGAGAGAGGGGTTAAAAGGCGCAGTAGTTACAACTAGAGAAGGAGCCACGCCAGGGGACGAGGTAGTCACCACTGGGGGCTTGGGGCTCGACCCAACCACAGAGGAGGGAGGGGAGCCAGAGGAAGGAGTCAGAGAGGCCAAAGGAGGAGCAAGGTCGGGGCCCAATGCAGCGGAGGCTACAGAGCCCGGTCTTCCAATACGGACCGACTCGGGGGCTTGGTCGCCCACCCCACGAGCCTGAGAAGGTAAACCAGAAGAAGCCGAAGCAGGGGTAATCATCTTGACGAAAGAAAGAATTCACTCACGAATGTGCCCCCACACCCACCATGGAGCCACAATTAGAGGCAGGACACCCAACAAGAAGCTATCGCCGATCTTGTCGGGGCCTCCTAGGGGTGCGTCGCGAGTATACGCCCCACAAACGCCACCTTAAGAAACCGACAGTCCGTCGAGATCGGGTTCAGTGACGAAGTGGGGATTGACAATAAAAGGTTCCCCTCGCTCTCGACGTCGGGTACTGCAGTTCTACGGGTGCATGAGTATGCCTCCTCAAGCACCCGGGCGTCAAAATAGAAGAAGTCCAAGGGAAGAACCAGAACGAGCAAAAGGTCGGTAGGAAACGGCAAGCAGATAGGAGAAGAGGGGGGAGAAAAACGAAACAGAAGGAAAAGGAAAAGATGCCCAGCAGAATTGGAGAGGACGGCAGCAGGAGCACAAGGCTAGAAAAGGACAGAGGACCGTCCCAAGGAGCATCACACTCCGGCAGCCGCCCACTAAGCCCCCACACGGCGACAACGAGCTGAGCGGGGAGGGGGTATGTAGGCTCATATGGGTACTCAGTTTTCACCTGTGTCTCATTCTGTGAGTAATGCCCATGCTAAATAGTCTGTTATTATCTACCATATAAATTCCTTTTTAAATTTTATATGTTGTAAACATGTCTCCCCTAACTCTTCTGTCTTTCAGCAATGTAAGATTTACATTACGTAACCTCTCTTAATAACTCATTCCTCGTAGTTATGGAACTAGTTTGGTAGCATACAATTGAACCTTCAACTTCGTCGTGTTATTGGCTTCATATGGACTCCACACTATAACCACATACTCCAGGATTGGTCTCACATATGTGATGTATATAGTTTCAAAGTTGTGAATTATTCCTTACACAAGTTTCTAAAAGCAATTCTTATGATAGCCATCCTCGCATATGCCACTGATGATATGCTTTTGATGTGGGCTTCATCATGATACAGGCTCTGTGTGATATCAACTCAATTATTTCTCTGTCCATTTCATGAAGGATTTTATATCCTATTTGGTACCTTGTGTCTGGCCTCCTGCTCCCTCCACCTAGTTTCATTATTTTACATTTACTCAAGTTAAATTCTAGTAGCCATTCATTCAATTTGTCCATGTCATCTTGTGGCCACTTGCTGTCTTCCTCTGTTTTAATCCTCCTCATAACATGAAGAGGATTTCTCTGTCTGTCTGTCATTCTCTCACTACCATATTCCTTCCCTTTTCTGTTTCCACATGATCCCACCATTACCCTAATACACACACACACACACACACACATCTGACTCTCCCATCCTCCATCCTTGCAGCGATTTGCGGTTCGGGCACCAACTACTAAGCAGGAGCTGAGTGTGCCCAGGGATGCTGGCACTGTGCAAGTGGTAGTGGCAGCCAGCACCAGGGTCGGGGAGGGACCCACCTCCCCGCCCGTTGTCATCAACCCGGCAAGCACAGGTAGGAACGAGTCTCTAGCTGGTTTTATTTTCTAATTTTACCCCGGGGGGCCACTTTATTGGGCAGCATCACTCATTCTGTGAGTGAACATTACGCTCCAACAGTATATGTAACATCCGTCAATAGGAACCAAATTAAGGGCAACATTAAGAAAACATAGAGCACTATTTCCAAAATAATGCACTATTTTCCCCTCACTCGTATCAGACCTCTGTGTAAGGTCTTCTTCTTGAGGTTATCTTGAGATGATTTCGGGGCTTTATCCCCACGGCCCGGTCCTCGACCAGGCCTCCACCCCCAGGAAGCAGCCCGTGACAGCTGACTAACTCCCAGGTACCTATTTACTGCTAGGTAACAGGGGCATTCAGGGTGAAAGAAACTTTGCCCATTTGTTTCTGCCTCGTGCGGGAATCGAACCCGCGCCACAGAATTACGAGTCCTGCGCGCTATCCACCAGGCTACGAGGCCCCTTCACTTCGATCTTTCTTTGGATCGTAGTCTAAGTCATCATCCATGGCACCATCATCATACAATATGTCGCGTATTTCCTCCTCAGAGAGTCATTTTGCATGACCGCGGCTGACCGTGGAGTGGGAGCTCGTAGATGATGCGTTAGACATGGTTGCTTTCTTGAAACTGAGGCTCCCCACGGCCCTGGGGCATGCTTTTTTTTCAAAATGGCGGATGATCACTGGGGCCCAAAGGCATCCATTTTGTACCCGCATCACCATGCGCCAGTTTTGAATGGTACACTATACCTATAAGATCCCAGAGGCGCATTGCTCACCACCCGTCGAGCGCCTGCAGGTGCATTGTACAGTGCAGTGGTTAAAAGAAAGCATGAGTAATGCCAGTTCATAAAGGGTGGTGATACAGCAGACATAAACAATTACAGGCCAATATCAAATCTACCTATATTATCAAAAATATTTGAAAAAATTAGATATCATTTACACAGCCCTTGACAAAAATGAGTTAATGAGTTCCCAATTGGACTCTTCATTGACCTGAGAAAGGCCTTTGATTCTGTTAATCATAACTACCTCTTACTTAAACTTCCCCATTATGATATCTGAGCCCTTGCCTTGAACTACAGTATATTCGACCTTATATTAGTGACAGACAATAATATGTAGCCATCAATGATATAACCTCCCCCCCACTCTACCATTAATCATAGATGTGCCACAGGGCAGCATCATAGGACCTCTCCTATTTCTTATATACATCAATGATCTGCCTAATGTCTCTAACATTCTTAAACCTATACTATTTGCTGACGATACTACTTTCATCTACTCAGACCCCAACCCACACACACTAAATAATGCTGTAAATAACGAATGAAAAAAAAGTCCACTCATGGATGTCAACCAACAAACTCACACTAAACATAGAAAAGCCCTACTACATTTTATTTGGAAGCAAATCAACAAATGCAATTCAGCTTTAGATAGACAATGTTAACATCAGTAATAAAATTGATGGAAAGTTCCTTGGCCTATACATAGACAAGAGACTCGACTTCAGCATCCACATACAACACATTACCAAAAATGTCAAAAAAATGGTCGGTATACTTTCTAAAATCAGATACAGTATTCTATTCCAAACTCTGCTCTCCTCTCATTATACTATGTGCTAATCTATCCCTATCTTACATACAGTATCTGTGCATGAGGTTCAACCACTACAAGCTACCTTAAGCCCATCATCACCCAGCAAAAATCTGCTGTCAGAACAATAACAAACTCTGCTTTCAGACAACACACAGCCCCGGTTTAAATTCCTTAACATGCTAAACATAAACTCGCTCTACACATTCTCTTGTGCCAGTTACATGTACAAAACCTTGTTCCTAGATGCAAAACCTTATCTGAAACTCTTCCTTGACAGATGTAATTGAACCCATAACCACCACACCAGAAATAAATATCTCTTTGATATCCCCAGAGTCAAACTATATCTGTGTAAACACTCTATGCAAATAAAGGGACCTAGTCTATGGAACTCACTCCCTAACGAATTAAAAAGCTGTCCAACCTACCCCTTATTCAAAAGTAACACCAAAAAGTACCTAATTTCATCCTCATAGTTTTCTACCTAGTGCTTCACACTCGCACTGTATAGTGTGCTACCCCAAAATATGTGCCTAAGCCATATAACTTCACCGTTGTAATCACTGCCATCATCTTATATCATGGTTGTTATGTTGAACGCAAATTTTACTACAATGTACCTAGAAATAATCCTCAAATTATGCTACAATGTACCTGTCGATAATCCTCAAATTTTACTAAAATGTACCTACTAATTTTCTTCAAATTTTCTTACAATGTACCTGTTAACTTTTTTTAATTTTGCTACAAATTACCTACTTAAAATTATCTGTTAGATTAAGGACCTGCCCGAAACGCTATGCGTGTTAGTGGCTTTACAAGAATGTAAAAACATCAATGCTATGTACTCTCATAAACCCATTGTACCTTCTTGTATATATATATAATATAATAAATAAATAAATAAATAAAGGTTTGTACTATTGGTAAATTAATGGGTTTTAAAAAAATTAACGTCCTAACAACTCAGCCTAATCTGTCCTATGTTTAAATAAGCTTCCTCCCATTTAAATATGGTACTTCACATTGGCTTATTGGCCAAAGTGAGGCAGCTTCTATCCACCCAAATTCTCCTATGAATATGAGGAACTTTTGCTTGAAACAGTCAGCGATCTCAGGTCTCTTATATTACTTTGTAATATTTTTCGTATATCAACAACCCTATTCCAAAACCAGTGTTTACCAAAGCCTTTTCTGCATCTAAACTTGTCAATAATCCATTGTTTTGAATTCTATTTTGTGTTGATATATGAAAATATTAGGCCTAATTTAGGCATATATATACTCCACAAGGGACTTGGAAAGATTAGACTGGGTTGTCTTTTTTTCTTGGACCCTCGATAGAGACAATAGTACAAAACATAGACTTTTGGGGGTTCAACAGTCCATTCACAGGAGCTAAAGGTACTGTAATTGGGCGAGAGGTTGAAGTAGCATTGCTCATGGTGAACGCTTCTGTCTATCTTTGTTATCATGTGAGAGTATCGATATTAATGGTTGTGAGATTATATTAGTGAGTGTATGTACTGTACTAGTAGGGGTCTATAATATTAGTGAGTATAATACTGCATTCATGAGTTACAATAATATGTATGTGGATATACTACAAGGTGCCTGACCACTATTAATAAGTGAGAGATTTAAGAGTTCCATCTGACAACAAACTATTTCCATTCAAAACAAAAAGTTCCACACAACAATTTCCTCTCCTGCAGCTTTCCATGTGGAAACCTCATGCAATAAACTGCCTCTGGTCCTCAGCTTCAGACTGATATATTCCTAGCATAAAGCACCTGTTGACACCAGTGTTTCCCAAGTTACAAAATACTTTCTCTTTTCTTGACCAACTTGAATGTCAGTGCAGTGGGCATGGGAAGTTGTAGAGTGGTACCAACAACAATTATCTCACCCCCTCCATACATATACAACGACAGGGCCCAAAAGACTGCATAACTGTGCTCTTGGTCTGTGTACAATTAAAAGTATTCATCCATCTTGTAGTCTCATGCTGTCTTCCTCTATCTTAATCCTTCTCATAATTATCATCATCAGCATACATTGAGAGGAAAGATTGTTTTCCCTCTGGAAGATCATTTACGTATATCAGAAACAGGATAGTCCTGAATACATAAACCTGTGGAACTCCTCTGGAGAAATCTTTGTGAAATTTTCTTCACCAACTTGCATGGTATTTTTGTTAGGAACACTGGTCTGTAGCTCAGTTCATCTTGCCTCCCACATTTTTTGTATATTGAGACTATTTAAGCTGTCTTCCAACTTTCTGGAAGGTCTCTTGTTTCCAATGACCTATTACACATCATTGAGAGTTGCACTCACAGTGCTTCTGCACCCTCTTTTAGTGTCCATGGTGATACTGTATTCCATCAGGCCCAACAGCATTTGTACCATCCATTTTCAGCAGATACCTCCTAAATTAATCTTCGATAATTCAGTTTGGCACCACATCTCCCAGCTCAGGGACTTCTGCTTTGTGTATAGTAAAGATGGTTACAGTGATGAAGAAAGTGTGTAGTGAAGATTATTATAGGGATGAAGATAGTGTGTAGCAAATATTGTTACACAGATGATGATAGTGTTTAGTGTAGATGGTCACAAAGATGATAGTGTATACTAAGACTGTACTCCTCCACATAAGCCAGTCATGTACAAGTATGCAAAAAGACAGCTTTAATAGTTCATTTCGACATTGATACCGTAAGACTGTACAATTACCTGTAATGCCATACCTGTATGAATTTGTTATTTATATTACAAGTGTATGATTATGGTTGTTGGAGTTGGGTTATACTAGCATTTGAATGTTATATTTACAAGGACATTGTTATTTGAATGAATATATTACTATAATATATGCATAATATGGCTTACAAGAGTATGTAATTTATGTAAACATTAAACAGCATGACTTCTTAAGCCTCTATGGCATGTAGGTATTCAGATTCCAAGAGCATTATTTTGAGCAGTCAACCAGCTGGCCCATCACTGCCCTCACTCCAAGCTCTGGTACGAGGGTTCCTCACCATAGAATCCTGACTTTGATTCCTTCCTCTGCTAGGGCAGTGTCCAGCTACCCGGATGGCACGCTCGTCCTGAGGGACGTCCAGCGGAAGGACTCCGGCAACTATACCTGTAGAGTGGCGAACACCTACGGTGACGACCACATCACCTACGTTCTCGTCGTTCAAGGTAGGTGGCCCTAGCTGCCTCATCGCCTACCCTACCCTCATCATGATTGAGAGTAGGTGGCCTGCCTCTTCATGGTCTAGGGTAGGTCGCCTGCCTCCTCGTGGTCCAGAGTAGATTTACCTGCTTAATCACAGTCTTGGGTTGATGGCCATTTCAGTCCATTGGGTTGTCATCTGATATCATGGTTGTTGTATTGAGTACATATTCTACTGCATTATTCCTGGAAATGATCCTTACATTGTGCTTCAGTGAACCCATGTATAACCCTGTAATGTTATCCTAATGTACCTAGTAATCCTTGTTCATTATTGTGTATTGGTATTATTGTTTATTATTCTAATCTGCTTTTGTGTCAAAATTTCTTGCAATGTACCTGTAATTTTTTTTTTACAATTTTACTATAATTATTCTACTTAAAATTATCTGTACCTGTAAACATTTTTTGTCAATTTTACTGTGAATTATCTAAAAATTATCTGTTAGTTTAAGGACTTGCCCGAAACGCTATGCATGCTAGTGGCTTTACAAGAATGTAAAATCAACTTAATTTCTATGTTCTCTGTTAACCCCCAATGTACCTTCTTGTATATAAATAAATAAATAATAAATGGCCTGCCTCTTTCTGGCTCAAGGTAGGTGACCTGTATCCTCACGTTCTGGGGTAGGTGCCCTGCATCGTCATGGTCTAGGGTTGTTGACCTGCATCTCACACAACCACTTGGGTGTGGTGAGAGGAAGACATTGGCCCATTAGCTTATTCCCATTTAATCTTCAATCCATCAGAATCTTCCTTCTCTATTTATCCAATATTTTGCTTATGTTTTCTGTCATCCACATCCAGCATCATTATCCTCCACCCTTCCTTCCAGTTCCTCCACTTCCTCCGCACATCCACGTGACGAGAACAGGAGCCACAACGCTGACGGTGGCCTGGAGGACAGGTGATGACGGCGGAGCACCGCTCCTGGGTCTCACTGTCTCCTACAAGAAAGACTATGGCGAATGGCAGGAGGAGACAGTGCCGCCTACCCAGACCTCACATGAGCTCCGAGGACTGTCTTGCGGCAACCACTACGACCTATACGTGACTGCATACAACAAGGTGGGCACCCAGGCATGCTATTTGCATTTTTGAATCACGTGCAAGGTGAATAAGAACCTATAATTAATTTGCCTTGCTGATCTGAAGTCCCCCACAACTGTTGATTCACCCCTAGGTTCATATTTACTGCTAGGTGAACAGAGGCATTGAGTGTAGTAGAGAAACGTGCCTGAGCCCACTGCCCAGAAACCAAACCCAGCTGCCTGTGCTTATCATTGCCCTAGAGGTAGGTCACTTGCATTGCTGAGCCAAGGTGTACTGCTTCTACTATTTAAGAAAGCTTACAGCTGTACCTTCTGTTGCCATGTCAGAGCAAACCAGTGTGAATAGATGGTCATGTGCATTACCTAAACTGCAGTTCCCAGTAATGTGGGTAGCCTACTGGGGTCCAATTTACAAATATGTTTTAAGAGCGTGTAACTTGGATTGCTAGTTAGACAAGCTGAGTTTCTGGGACAGTCTACAAGGTTATGAGGTCTACACAGCAGGTTGTGACTGTCTACAAGATTGTAAAAGTTAACAAGAAAGTTTTGAATATAATATATTTTCCTGTGCAGTGATTGTGCATCAACATATCTGTGTGTTGTTGTTGCATGCTTGGATACCAGAACAAATGTATTATTTTGTTTTTGTTTTTATGAAAGCATAAAAGCACGGATACGCAAGACCGAATTACCCAACTTGCTCACAGGTTGGAGATGGGCGTCACTCTGAGAACCTGAGGACTAAAACAGCTGGGTCGCCGCCCATCGCCGGTGGGCGCGAGGGCGTGGTGAGTGCCAACACCTCATGGGCGGCTGTAAGCCTGGCCCAGTGGAGCGATGGAGGGTGCCCCATCAGTCACTACAGTGTCGCCTACAGGAGAACCAGCAGCACTTCCTGGGTAGTTGGTGAGTCTCTCTCTCTCTCCCTCTTCTCTTTCCCTATCTTCCTCTTCTCTGTCCCTCCTCTCTCCCTCTCTCTCTCTCTTCACTCACTCACAGACACTCACAGACACTCACAGACACTCACAGACACACACAGACACACACAGACACACACAGACACACACAGACAGACACAGACAGATACACACATCTATCTGGACCTAAAAAAGGCTTTCGACAGAGTTCCACATAAGAGGTTGTTTTGGAAACTGGAAAATATTGGAGGGGTGCAGGTAAGCTTCTAACATAGATGAAAAATTTTCTGACATAGAAAAATGAGGGCAGTAATCAGAGGCAATGTAGCGGAATGGAGAAATGTCACAAGTGGAGTACCACAGGGTTCAGTTCTTGCACCAGTGATGTTTATTGTCTACATTAATGATCTACCAGTTGGTATACAGAAATATATGAACATGTTTGCTGATGATGCTAAGATAATAGGAAGGATAAGAAATTTAGATGATTGTCATGCCCTTCAAGAAGACCTGGACAAAATAAGTATATGGAGCACCACTTGGCAAATGGAATTTAATGTTAATAAATGTCATGTTATGGAATGTGGAATAGGAGAACATAGACCCCACACAACCTATATATTATGTGAGAAATCTTTAAAGAATTCTGATAAAGAAAGAGATCTAGGGTGGTTCTAGATAGAAAACTATCACCTGAGGACCACATAAAGAATATTGTACAAGGAGCCTATGCTATGCTTTCTAACTTCAGAATTGCTTTTAAATACATGGATGGCGATATACTAAAGAAATTGTTCATGACTTTTGTTAGGCCAAAGCTAGAATATGCAGCTGTTGTGTGGTTCCCATATCTTAAGAAGCACATCAACAAACTGGAAAAGGTGCAAAGACATGCTACAAAGTGGCTCCCAGAACTGAAGGGCAAGAGCTACGAGGAGAGGTTAGAAGCATTAAATATGCCAAAACTAGAAGACAGAAGAAAAAGAGGTGATATGATCACTACGTACAAAATAGTAACAGGAATTGATAAAATCGACAGGGAAGATTTCCTGAAACCTGGAACTTCAAGAACAAGAGGTCATAGATTTAAACTAGCTAAACACAGATGGCGAAGAAATATAAGAAAATTCACCTTCGCAAATAGAGTGGTAGACGGTTGAAACAAGTTAAGTGAGAAGGTGGTGGAGGCCAAGACCGTCAGTAGTTTCAAAGCGTTATATGACAGTGCTGGTTAGACGGGACACCACGAGCGTAGCTCTCATCCTGTAACTACACTTAGGTAATTACACACACACACACACACCTGAGAACCACATTAGGAATATTGTGCGAGGAGCCTATGCAACACTTTCTAACTTCAGAATTGCTTTTAAATACATGGATGGCGAAATACTAAAAAAATTGTTCACGACTTTTGTTAAACCAAAGCTGGAATATGCAGCGGTTGTGTGGTGCCCATATCTTAAGAAGCACATCAACAAACTGGAAAAGGTGCAAAGACATGCCACCAAGTGGCTCCTAGAACTGAAAGACAATTGCTACGAGGAGAGGTTAGAGGCATTAAATATGCAAAAACTAGAAGATAGAAGAAACAGAGGCGATATGATCACTACGTACAAAATAGTAACAGGAATCGATAAAATTGATAGGGAAGAATTCCCGAGACCCGGAACTTCAAGAACAAGAGGTCATAGATTTAAACTAACAAAACAAAGCTGCCAGAGAAATATAAGAAAATTTTCTTTTGTAAACAGAGTGGTATACGGTTGGAACAAGTTGGTGAGGTGGTGGTGGAGGCCAAAACTGTCAGGAGCTTCAAAGCGTTATATGACAAAGAGTGCTGGGTAGACGGGATACCATGAGCCTAGCTCTCATCCTGTAACTACACTTAGGTAATTACACACACACACACACACACACACACACACACACACAGCTGCTCTGTATAATCTGATACAGTGTCTGGCCAACCCGTCCTCTTAAAAATAACGTCACTTTTCGCTCGTAATGCGCGCTATGGCCAAATTTGGACGTAATTTGAACTGAAATCGACTCACAAAAGTGACGTACTGTTCCGTTTTCTGTTTGAGTCGTCCGGCTTACTCGGAAAGCTTAGAAGAGGAAACTTTCCATCACCGTTTTTCATAACGATTTGAAACTTTATGAGAATTTCCTGCCCACCTAACCTATCAGAGGACCCTTAACTTACCGTTGTTGAAAACAAATTCCCAAATTTATTTTAATTTATTTTTTCATTTTCAAATTACGTCCATATTCGGCCATACGGGCAAACGGCCAAAAGCGACGTTCTTTTTAAGAGGACAGGTTGGTCTGGCAGTACTCATATTTAACGAGTTTGAGGATTAACATTTTTCCTCATAATAAGTATTTAATGGCCGTAATTAATGAATTTTATTTAATATTAGTTACAGTCAGGACCTGGATGAAGCTGGAGGTCTCTTTCACATGATAGAGAGAACATGTTACAGATGCTTTAGTTGTAATAATAACAACAACAACAGCAACAGCAACAGCAACAGCAGCAGCAGCAGCAGCAACAGCAGCAGCAGCAGCAGCAGCAGCAGCAGCAGCAGCAGCAGTAATGATAGTGATCCAAGAGTAACTACTTCAGTACTAAACATTACCAACTAATGATTGTAATTTGGCCCACAGTGTCCGAGCGGGTTGAGGGTGGGCGGCCGTTGGAATTGGGTGGCCTCACCCCTTCCACCCCTTACACCGTTAGAGTCACTGCCCACAACTCTGCTGGGAGCACTGCTCAGGACTACCCCTTCACCACAGCTCCCATCACAGGAGGTAGGCAATGAGAGAGAGAGAGAGATATGATTATATATATACAATGGGGGCCTCGACTTACGATGCTAATCCGTTCCCAGAGACGGATCGTAAGTCGAAGCGATTTTTCCCATAAGAAATAAAGGGAATTGAATTAATCTGTTCCCCACCCTCCAAAATATTAACATACAAATACATTTTATACTGAATACAATGTTTTTTTCTAACTACTGAATTAGTAATTATAATAGTTGTAGCAATATTAATAACAACAATGCAAAAAGTAATAGTAGTAGTAATGCCAGTAGTAATAGTTGCACTTGTAATAGTTGTAGTAACTGTAATAATAGTAGCAACAGACACAGCAATAGTAGTAGAGGTATGAGAAGTTGTAGTAGTAATAGTAGCATTAGGAAGAGTAGTAGTAATGGTAGCAAAAATAAGAGCAGTAGCAGTAATAGTAGTAGTAGGAATAGACAAAGCAGTAGTAGTAGTAGTGGTAAGAGTAGTTGTAGTAGGCGATGAGTCACAATAACGTGGCTAAAGTATTTTGACCAGACCACACACTAGAAGGTGAAGGGACGCGGAAGAGAATGGTCCAGGATGGACCGAAACGTCGTCGTCCCTTCACCTTCTAGTGTGTGGTCTGGTCAACATAGTTGTAGTAGTAGCAGTAATGATAATATTATGAGTATTAGTAAGAGTAATAATATAATAGTATTAGGAGTGCTGAAAGTAGTAGAAGTAATAACAATACTAATACTAGAAGTAGCAACAACAGTAGTATAATAATTAATGTTGACATGAGTGTATATTGTCTGCCCGTGCCGAAAGTCGGATGCCCAATGTCTGTCACTCCCGCAGGACCCTCGTCCCCGGGGCTGGTGGTGGACGGCGTGTACCTGACGGACGTCAGGGTCCTCCTGCCAGTAGTGGCCTCGTCTCTCGCCCTACTGGCCACTGTCATTACTGTCTGCGTCTGCATCAGGAAGAGTGAGTACTGGAAACTAACAGCAATTGTTGACCAATGACCGAAGGGAAGGGAAAAAAGTGGGTACCAAACAGCTTACCGGTATTTCATATAAAATTGTCAACCACTCTATCGTGGAAATTTCCATGATAATGTGGCTGACAATTTATATGACGTGGGCGTAGATCACTAAATGCCATGGACCTACACAGTGGCTGGAAGAAGTATAAAATTTCAGATGGGCAATGGTTTGCTTCTGGTTTATATGTACACACACACACACACACACACACACACACACACACACACACACACACATCATTTGTGTTGTGAATTTGAATTTGACATTCAGTACCTTCCTCCCTTGGGTAAAAGTGACCATGTCTTTTTGGGAATAAAGTATGCAATGCGTTATAAGCTGGAAGAAAATAAGGAGGTTGAAGCAGTTGAAAAACCAGACTTCAGGAGAGGACATTATGGTGACCTTAGAATTTTTTTTAGTGAGTATAATTGGACAGACTTGATGCTAGGCAAGGAAGTGAATGAGATGTATGGCAAGTTTTGTGAAATATATGATAAAGGCACAAAAAAATTTATACCAAAACAGAGATGCAGAACTAGGAAACAGGATTGGTTCAATAGAAATTGCGAGAGGGCTAGAGACCGAAAGACACAAAAATGGAATCAATACAGGAAGAGGCCGAACCCCCAAACATACCAGCGATACAAAGATGCGAGAACATCAACAAACCGGAAAAGGTGCAAAGACATGCTACTAAGTGGCTCCCAGAACTGAAGGGCAAGAGCTACGAGGAGAGGTTAGAAGCATTAAATATGCCAAAACTAGAAGACAGAAGAAAAAGAGGTGATATGATCACTACATACAAAATAGTAACAGGAATTGACAAAATCGACAGGGAAGACTTCCTGAGACCTTACAGTGGTATCTTGGTTTAAAACTGCCCTAGATTACAATTTTTTTTATATACAAAGTCAAATTCCTTGTAAAATTTGACTTGGTGTACGACGTTTGCCGTGGAATACGACATCTGTTGATACTTGTATGGGCCGAGCGAGCGCGTGGTTCTGCTGGGCACGGCGAGGCACGTTCAGTTTACCTGTCTCCCGCCTAGTGATGACAGAGCTTGAATTCTTTGTAAAGAATTTCATTGTTTTCTGTTTTTTGGTTTCTGAACAGTAAAGTTCTTATTATATATCATGCTATGGGTCCCAAGAAAGTCAGTGATAAAGTTCAACCTAAGAAAATAGTTGAGAGGATGACGATAGAGGAAAACAAGAGATCTTTCATAGTGAATGAATGTGATGTCTCATTACAGACAAGTGTTAAAACATAAGGAAAACAAGTGTCTTTAGACAGATTCTTAGTAAGATAAGCAAGCAGTGAGCCACAACCAGGTCCTAGTGGCATAACTGCAAAATGTAGTAGAGAGAGAGTACCCCAGAAATGTTGTAAACGACAGTACCACTGAATATATATAAATGAGGTTGGGTTGATATAAATAGGCACTAACTCGTGTGAACCAGTAAGCTTTTTCAGTTCCTTAATTTTTAAATTCTTGTGTTATGATGTTCATACTCTATCCACCATAGCTCTGGGACATGTTGTGTTGCAATTCTATGAAATTTTTAAGCGTTTTTGGAAGTTGGGATTTCACATCAGAGTTGCATACTCTAGTGCAGGTCTCACATAGGTGGTATACTGTGTTTTGAATGCCTCCATATTAATACTCCTGAAGGCTGCTTTATGTGCACCAATTTCTTTTATGTCACCGACATCATCCTGTTTAGTGTCTGTGGTGAGACTTGGCATTCTATGTACAGTACTTCACAAAGTCTTTTACAGTTCTGATTCTGTAGGCACGTCACTGCCATAGAGCAGAACATTATGGATCGTGGGACTGATCCTTAGTAACTTCTCTTGTTGCAATGCATCTGTTCGGCTTTTCCCCACTCACTGTAACTCTCCATCTCTTGTGTGTCAGGTATTCTCTCGCTCATTTCCCTCCTCTTCTAGTTACCCCAGCTTATTTCTTAAAGTTGTGTCATAGTTTCAAGTATGAAACTGCTTTATTGTGGTAGAACTTTAGTTGGTTTACAAGTAAAATTCCATGAAGATATTCCAATGCAGTAATCTGAGCTGTAATATTTATTCAAGCATTTCACAAGGCATGCTTGTCAGTGATACTGGTCTGTAATTCATTGTCTACTTAATGAAAGGAAGAGATAACAGAGATCTTGGCAAACCAGCTGGTTGAGGTAACCATCTTAAAGCAAATATAAACTTTCGATGTAGTTGGACCCTAATTACCATCATTAATCGTTCCCTTTCTCATTAACTTCCCCGATCCATCACCTGCCACCAAGCAGAGCCGCCCCCAGCGTCCCCCCAGAGTGTGGTTGACAGCACCGGAGCAGCAGTTCAGGACAACAAGGAAAATATGAAGCAGCGGGAACAGTACTATGCCACCGTTCGCAAGACATCACCCCACCGGGACCCAGCGGGCCTTGAACGCATACCAGGTAGATCACTAGGCAACCTAAGCATTGCATTTTCAATGGGTTTGAACTAATCAACAAAATTGTGAGATTTTAGTCAAAATTAAATTGGTTAAATTGTGAGCACGAGGCAGCAATGAGCACCTAGGACATTAGGGCTGGTGGGTCATGGAGCAGCTAGGACATGGGGGCTGGTGGGTCATGGAGCAGCTAGGACATGGGGGCTGGTGGGTCATGGAGCAGCTAGGATATGGGGGCTGGTGGGTCATGGAGCAACTAGGACATGGGGGCTGGTGGGTCATGGAGCAGCTAGGACATGGGGGCTGGTGGGTCATGGAGCAGCTAGGACATGGGAGCTGGTGGGTCATGGAGCAGCTGGGACATGGGGGCTGGTGGGTCATGGAGCAGCTAGGATATGGGGGCTGGTGGGTCATGGAGCAGCTAGGATATGGGGGCTGGTGGGTCATGGAGCAGCTAGGATATGGGGGCTGGTGGGGTCATGGAGCAGCTAGGATATGGGGACTGGTGGGTCATGGAGCAGTTAGGACGTGGGAGCTGGTGGGTCATGAGCTGGTAGGACATGGGGGGCTGGAGGGTCATGGAGCAGCTAAGACATGGGGGCTGGTGGGTCATAGAGCAGCTAGGACATGGGAGCTGGTGGGTCATGGAGCAGCTAGGACATGGGAGCTGGTGGGTCATGAGCTGGTAGGACATGGCTGCTGGTGGGTGATAAAGTTAGTTGCATCATGAGGCACTTGAATTATGTAGCGAGGAGAGTCAATGAAAAGATACTTGACGAGGCTCTTGGTCATGTTTTTTGTAAGTCTTTTATGAGGTAATTGATACAGTGTGTGGGGCATGGTTTATGCTGTGCCTCATGTCCATATAGCTCCAAGGTCAAAGTGATCACATAACTGGATCACTGGTCTGCAAAATCACAGGTCATTTCCTTTAGGTTGGTCCTAAAGGAACTACATGTTCCTTTAGGACCAACCATATGGTGTAAAGCTATTTGATGATCTTATTGGTTGTTTCATAACTCAGTCACTCCATTTCTTGCAGAGTATGCTGACGACATCTACCCCTATGCCACCTTCCAGATGAACAACAGTCAGCAGCAGCAGCAGCAGACCCAGCGCCCTCGCCTGCAGCAGCCCACACCGCAGACACACCACAACCCCTCACATGGTCACTATCAGCCCTGCCCCTACAAGGACGTCATGGCCAGCAGGGAGGTGAGGCCTTCTTGCTCCCCCCCCCGCTTCCCACAGTCTCTACCACACCACCCCTCACAGTTAATATCAGGCCCCCCACAGTCACTCCCAGGCCCTCACAGTCACTCCCAGGCCCCCACAGTCACTACCAGGCCATCACAGTCAATATCAGGTCCCCATAGTCACTACCAGAAGCCCCACACAGTCACTACTAGGCTACCAGTTAATAATAGGTCCCAACAATCACTACCAAGTCTCCACAATCACTACTAAGCCCCCCACAGTCACAACCAGGCCCTCGCAGAAAATACCAGGCTCCCCACAGTCACTACAAGGCCTAATAGTCACTATGAGGCTCCCACAGTTTGTACCAGGCCCTTGCAGTCACTACCATTGTGGTGGTGACTGCAGGAGCCTGGTAGTGACTCCTAGGTAGGCCCCACAGTCTCTACCAGGCCCCAGAGTCACTATCAGGCCGCTTCAGTCACTAACACATCCCCACAGTCACTACCAGGCTCACACATTCACTAGCAGGGCCCCCCCTCAGTTACTCCCAATCTCCACAGTCACTACCAGGTTTGAATAGGCACTAACATACCCCCCCCAGTCTCACTCCATTTTCTGAGTGAGACCCGGAGGCTCCCTGACAACCCTCCCTCCTTGTCTGTGCAGCTACCCCCTCCCTGGAAGGTGGAAGGGGGAGCCCCAGACCCCCCACATTGGCTATCCACACCCCTAGTTCTGAGGCAGGATGTCAAAACACACGAAAAAACTGCCGAGGGGAGCGAGAGAGGGTTGCCAGGGAGTCTCCGGGTCTCCCCCAGAAAATGGAGTTTCATTACATCCAACACTGGTTTTCTTGGGAGGGAGCTCTTTCGGGTCCCAAGAGCTACTTAACCAAAGATAAAACAAGAGGGACTTGCCTGGGAGGCGGTCACCACTCGCTCCTCAACTCAGTCGAAACAACTGGCTGCAACCACCAGCCCAACGCGACACATGCCCTCCTAGGCCCTGGAACATTGACAAGATAGCGAGCAGTCAGGACCCTGTTCGATCTTCAAAACCTCTCGTGTCAGCCCAAGACATATTACCGAAGACGGCATCCAAAGCAGCAAACTTACGAATGTCATGGACACAAGGATAGACCGCAGGATGGCTAGACCGTATAACCTTTCAGATGATCTGTGAGACCCGAGCCCTGAAACAGGGAAGTAGGGAAACTGGGTCAACCCAAAACGCATCCCCGGCCATCGAAGCCATGGCACGCAAGTAACGGCGAAGAGCCGCAACCGGACTCGACACATAATGCACCCCCATCCAAACCAACTGAGCATCAACAACCCAAAGACCCCTCTGGAATGCACGTGCTTGATGGGGTTCTGGGAGATCTTCTACTCCCCAAGCCTGGCCTGAGACCAGGCTTGACTTGTGAGAGTTTGGTCAACCAGGCTGTAATGTCTACAGCAGAGATAATTTTCATGCTGATTTTTGTATCATCTGCAAAGGATGACACGAAGCTGTGACTTGTATTTTTGTCTATATCTGATATGAGAATAAGGAACAGTAGTGGTGCAAGGACTGTACCTTGAGGTATAGAGCTTTTAACATCGCTCGGACTCGATTTTACTTGATGGACTGTTACTCTTTGTGTTCTGTTCGACAGGAAATTGAGTATCCAGCATCCTACTTTACCAGTTATACCCATTGACCTCATTTTGTGTGTAATCACTCCATGGTCACATCCGCACGAGATGCAGCAGTCTCATTTTTCGCCAGAAAAGGAGACAGCTGCAAATGAACAAACCTGGCATCGGTTGGCATCGTTATAATATAATGATGCCAACACAGAAGACACTGCTCAACATAACAGGCCTATTACACCTGATTAATCTTTGTACGTGCTTTGTCCCCCCATTTATCCCCCTTGTCTTTTCCTTTATTGTACTTGTTTATCACCTGACTCCGTACTGGTATAAATTAACAAGTTCTGTAATTTCTTTTCACTTGAGAATGAACCATGGAGGTTCAAAACGTTATGTGATTTTGTAATTAATGTAATATATTCTTCAGTTATTCAATTCTTTTCTTCACTTAAAAACAACATGACTTTTGGTGAACTCCTCTTCCAGCTGAACCCTGATGCAGGAGCATTAGTAAGAGGGATAGAAGCCCTAAATTAGAATATAGTAAATATGGAATATGCTGTCATATATATAATATATATATATATATAATATATATACAGTATATATAATATATATATATTATATACTTGTTTTTGTATCATTCTCCAACCTTACTTTTTCCAGCACATATCAACTGGCGAGACCTACTGTCGCATTGGCAGTGGAGGTGGTGGCGGAGGCAACAACAGTAGCAGCGGCGGTGGTGGTGGCGGCGGCGTTACAGGCATCCGTGGTCGCCACCCGACTCCGGGCCCGCGCTCTGTCAAGTCTGAGAGTGAGGAGTATGACACGTTCGGCTCCGACTCCGACACAGACCCTCCTGCCTCGTCCCGGACTGAGTCTTCGAACCAGCTGGACCAGGACAGGTCAGGGCCGATGAGAGCTGTGCATCATAGTAAGTCCCACCCATGACACGCCAACTTATTGCACCCACACTCCACCCACGACACGCCCATTTATTTCATCCACACCCCACCCACGACATGCCCACTTATTGTACCCACAACACAGCCAATTATTGCACCCACACCCCACCCACTTATTGCATCCACACCCCACGCACTTATTGCCCCACATCCCACCCACAACACGCCAACTCATTTCACCCATACCCCGCCCACGACACGCCAACTCATTGCACGGACACCTCACCCATGACACGCCTACTTATTACACCCATACCCCACCCACTCATTGCACAGACACCCTACCCACGACATGCCCACTTATTGCCACCACAACACAGCCAATTATTGCACCCACACCCCACCCACTTATTGCATCCACACCCCACCCACGACACGCCAACTCGTTTCACCCATACCCCGCCCACGACACACCCACTCATTGCACCGACACCCCACCCATGACATGCCTACTTATTACACCCATACCCCACCCACTCATTGCACAGACGCCCCATCCACGACATGCCCACTTATTGCACCCACACCCCACCCATAACATGCCCACTCATTGCACCCTAACCCCACCCACGACACACATACTTATTGCATCCACGGCATGCCCACTCATTACACCCACACCCCCCACCCACTTATTGCACCCACATCCCACTCATTGCACCCCAATTATTGCACTCACAACATGCAAACTCACTGCACACACACACACACACACCGCCCATGACACGCCCACTCATTGCACCCACATCCCACCCATGACACCCCAATTATTGCACCCACAACATGCCCACTTATTGCATCCATGACACGCCCACTTATTAAATAAAATAAGTGAACATTTAACCTCACTTTACCTTTACTGTGGACTCTTGGTGGCGTATGGGAGATGGTGAGGAGGAGGGAGGGAGAAGCTGTGTTGGTGTATGAGGAGGGCGAGGTGAAACCGTTCCCTGCTCGCCTTAAGAGCATTCATATCTGCATCACTGGTTCCAGATTTTCCTTTCACACATTTCACTGCATCTGTTATGTAGCAGCCACTCAGAACTAGTCACTTAAGTCACAAGTCAGTCAAGCATTCACAGTCAAGATCAGTCAAAGGCAGTCATAACCAAAGGCAGTCACTCATTCATAGTCGAGACCAGTCACAGGCAGTCATAACCAAAGGCAATGTAGCATTCACAGTTGTGGTAGCAACCAGTTAGGTATTTAGTCATTCAGCTATTTACAGTTAGTCAGGCCTTCACAGTCAGTAAACAACAAGAGTTTAATGTCATGCAGTCTGCCTCGTGATCAACCAGCTGGTAGCAACGAAGCCCATATTAATACTGTTCAGATGTGGCTGGTATAGCTGGGGAGGGAGGGGGGGGGGGGGGATATGGGAGTTGGAGGTTGCGGGATGGGGGAGGTGGGGTGGGTCCAGTGGCAGGATGGGGGTTAGCAGGGAGGGTGCGGTGTGGGGGATGGAGGTTCACCCCACCATCCATCCATCCAGTCCCCTCACCATCCATCCATCCAGTCCCCTCACCATTCATCCATCCAGTCCCCTCCACCATCCATCCAGTCCCCCCCACTGTCCATCCGGTCCCCATCCACCATTCATCCAGTCCCCTCACCATCCATTCATCCAGTTTTTGTTGCCGCCGCCGGAAGCGGCTAGTTTATTGTGCACCCCATACTCATCCTGTGAGCAGTAGCACAAAAAGCATTACAGAGGGCACAAAAGGTCTTTACCAGACCTCATCTTAGATTATTACATAAATAATTTCATCTATCATTCACACCTTATAGATACAATGTCAGCTAGTTACAGAGAAAGTGCTATTTCAAGAGCTATATATTTACAGTAAGTCATTATACATTAATGGTAGGTCTTATCGCTAATACATAATAGTTTGACCAATGGAGATATTACAGTCACAGGAGAGCTTCTGTTTATTATTCATCTTCAATACACTACTTGTTTCTTAATCTCATGTGTCGTTTATCTACTGGAAGCGAAATATGGATACAGTGAAAGGATTTCAGGTATTTTATCCCTGGTAATAAGATAGGTTGCCATATCATATAGCGTGAGCTTAGATTTATCTCTAAATGGCTCAATTTTACTATAATCCAAGATACAGTGTTCAAGTGTGTCCCTGGCTTTGTCCACACACTTTATACTTTAATTCATCTAGATCCCTATACAAGCCGAACTGCCAGAGATACTTGTAGCCAAGTCTTATACGAGCTGTGACAACATCTGTTAGTCTACTTACTTTGTTACTTGCCCCATACACATGTTTTACTTCACACATTTCACTGTGATGAACAATGGACCTGCTAGTTCCAGTCTGCACTGTTCTACTTTCTTCAAATTCATCCACAAGTTCACGTCTAATAACACTTTTAAGGGACCTATTTGATAACTCAAGATTCCGTTCAATACTGTCTATTTACTGCAGCCTTAGCAAGGGTGTCAGTTTTGTGATGTTCCTGCAGGCCAATGTTAGAAGGAATCCACAACATTTTTATATTTACTCTCTTTCTAAGTATTCTTATACATCTACATCTAGCTTCCAAGGCAAGCACATTATTACTTGATTGCAAACTGTTTATTGCTCGTAGTGAGGAAAGGGAGTTGGAAATAATTAAGCTGTCTACTTGTGTTGTCAATAATTTCAAGTGCTACCAGTATTGCTACCAACTCAGCTTGCATTGTGGATGCCCCTCACCATCCATCCAGTCCCTATCCACCATCCACCCCCTATCCATCCATCCAATTCCTCCCCTCCATTCATATATCCAGTTCCCCCCTCCATCCATCTGTCCAGTTCTCCCCACCATCCATCCACCCCCTATCCAACTATCCAGTTTTCCTCTCCTTCCAATCCCCCTCACCATCCATCCAGTCCTCTCACCATCCTGGGACCCATGGCATGATATATAATAAGAACTTTACTGTTCAGAAAACAAAAAAAGCAGAAAAACTATTAAATTCTTTACAAAGAATTCAAGATAGGTTGTAGGAATAGACTTGCAAACAAACCGAGAGCCCCTCACCCTCAGCACCACGTGCTCGTTCGATCCATACGCGTATGAACAGACGTCGTCTTTCAAGTAAACTGTCATCTTCCAATTCAAATTTTACAAGGAATTTGACGTCGTGTTCCAAAAAATTCGTCTTCTAGGGCAGTCGTCAACCGAGGTTCCACTGTATTTTTATAATAAAATGTATGAATCGTCACTATACTCAAAATTATGGTGTACATATTAGTGATTCAATTTTTATGTTCATAAAACAATAAACAAATACTTTTGCAGTTATTACACTATATACACAGTTTATATATGAGTTTCTGTATGTTTTGTTCACCATAACTGTACAACTAAGCTGATATGGTGAGTTCAGACTGACAGAGGTCGCCACACACCCTGCCTGGTTCAAGGCCAGATGCACTAATATTCCTCCTCCAACTATACTGTTTGTGGTGTTATTACACTATATACACACATTATATATAAGTATCTACATGTTTTGTTCACCATAACTGTACAACTAAGCTCGTATAATGCCCAAAAAGCATAGTGGCCACCCTTAAACAGCATGACAAGTCATGCAGATGATGCCACCTCCCTCACCAAAATGGCTTCTCCCAACATACTCCTTTTGCTGTTATTACACTATATATACACGTTATATATAAGTATCTTTTGTACATTTGTGTTCACCATAGCGAACCATTAAGCTGGTATGGTG